CCCCCCCCCCCCCCCCCCCCCCCCCCCCCCCCCCGCCCGGGGGAGGGATGAACAGACCACGTGCAGTCACTGAGAAAACCCCCACCAAAGTCCCACAACTTTGTTCATGCTGTCATTTGGTTACTCTTTTGAGTCTTCAGTCCCTCCCTATAGAGTGTTCGTTTACCCCTCCAGAACTGCCCAGTTACTGCCCTTCAGAACACTGCATCCTTTGCCCAAGGGTTCTGCCAGTTGAGATGATCCACATCTCCAAGGAGGAAGTGAGCAGGAACTAGTTAACGGGGGACTTGCTGACAGGCAGTCCCTGGAGTCAACAAGAACACTTAGAATGTCACTGTCGTTTTTCTGCATCAGTCCACCATTCTTCTTGAGGCATAGTCTGCTGTGCTCTCTAAGGTCTTAGGACATTCCAAGGATACAAGGATGTAGCCAATTTAATTCCCACAAATCAGTTTCAAGGTGAAGAAGTAGAGCAACTTTTTAAAAAAATTTAAAATTTAAAATGTTTTAATGTTTATGTCTTTTTGAGAGGGAGACAGAACACGAGCAGGGGAGGGGCAGAGAGCAAGGGAGACACAGAATCCGAAGCAGGCTCCAGGCTCTGGGCCGTCAGCACAGAGCCCGACTCGGGGCTCGAACCCACGAACCGTGAGACCATGACCCGAGCCGAAATCGGACGCTTAGCCGACTGAGCCACCCAGGCGCCCCAAGAAGGGTAGCAAATTAAAAAACCAATGAGATGCTTCCATTTGCCATAGGGTAATTATCGGTCCGATAATCAGAACTTTTCCAAAGCAGCGTAAGGGAAACAAAACTTAGTGGCAGTGATTACTAAGGAAATCTTGCCGGGGTTAATTCAGGGCATTATGAAGCCAATGAGGCAATCATACCCCTACGAAATCCTTCCCAGTTCCCAGTATTTTCATCAAGCAAGTATCTCAATCATGACCATTTGGCTGAAAAAGACCCTCACTTCTCTGTAAACAAAACAGCAGGCAACCAGCAAGTACAGTCCATCCACTTGCCTTCTCTTGGTGGCTTCCTGAGGTTCAATAGCTTTGGCCAGCATTTCCTTATAGATTGGAGACTTTAAATAGCGAGCATAAGAATCCTAGGGGGAACAAGAGAAAACCAGTGACTACGAGAGGGGAGGTGTCAAATCAAACACATACACTTGCTGTTTTCAGGTCCTCCCTGGGCAGTCAGATGGCAAAGTTAAGAGAACCTGTACCCTTGCAGGAAAGGCATTCAGGTGTGCGGCGAAAGCAACTGTGGTCAAGTACGGCCCCTGGACCCGCAGAGTCAATTTCACTTGGCAACTTGCTACGAATGCACATCTTCGGGCCCTCTCCCCAGTCCCACTAAGTCAGAAATGCCCAGGATGGGACAATTGGAGTCTTAAGAAGCGGCCCGTTGATTCTGCTACACTTTGGTTTAGAGAACTGTCTATAACCCCCCCCCCACTAAAATCCACCCGGGGGGGCTTCAGCCAAGTAAGCATGAGAGGACACTTGTATCCCACCTCTCCCGCCCAGTATCTGCCTCCAAGGAAAATGAACAGCCCTGAGCATGGAGTCCACCTTGATGCCCATGAACATCCCTTTCTGCCCTGAACTTAGATATAAAAGCGAGAGAAAACAAAACAAAACAGGGGGGGCACCTGGGTGGCTCCGTCAGTTAAGCATCCGACTCGATTTCAGCTCAGGTCATGAGCTCACAATTCATGAGTTTGAGACCCACATCGGGCTCCGCAATGACAATGCGGAGCCTGCTTGGGATTCTCTCTCCTCTCCCTCTCCCTCTCTCTCTCTCTCTCTCTTTCTTTCTCTGCCCCTCTCACACATGCTCTCTCTCAAAATAAGTGAATAAAAAGAAAAAGAAAAACCAAGACTCAGATTCCTCTTTTGCGGGTATTTCCAGGTTCAGAGAACTCGCTACACAAATGCTCGTTACGTGCAGGTTCAACTCAAAACTCTCGTTCTAACAAATACGGGACAAAGCCCACAGCAACGATGTAGGGACCAAGGGTTTTTTAAATTTATCAAAACAGTTCCATTCTAAAAACCAAGCAGTAGCAGTGAAAGTTACAAGAACCAGGACAGAGGTTGGGAGTGGGGACTATGGATTGGTGGGTCATGTTGACTTTATTGTCATAGGACACAGCCTCTCGTGACACACAATCTACTAAGCGTATACACTGTCCTTAAGTTACCCACGGTTCTGTTTTTTTTCTGGCTACTATCTGGCTTTCCTGGGTATCTCTGTAAAAGGCTGTATAAAAAATCACATTAAAAAAAATTTTTTTAATGTTTATTTATTTTTGAGAGACAGAGACCAAGTGTGAGTGGGGGAGGGTCACAGAGAGAGGGAGACACAGAACCTGAAGCAGGCTCCAGGCTCTGAGCTGTCAGCACAGAGCCCAACACGGGGCTCAAAGTCATGAACCGCGAGATCATGACCTGAGCCAAAGTCGGACACTCAACCGACGGAGCCACCCAGGCACCCTCCTTTTTTTCATTAAAAAAGCACATTTTTAAGAATCAAAATGTGGGGTGCCTGGGTGGCTCAGTCGGTTAAGCGTCTGACTCTTGATTTTGGCTCAGGTCATGATCCCAGGGTTGTGGGATCGAAACCCGACTTGGGCTCTGAGCTGACAGTGCAGAGCTTGCTTGGGATTCTCTCTCTCTCTCTCTCTGCCCTTCTCCCTCTCTCTCTCAAAATAAATAAATAAACATTTTTAAAAACATAACCCAGGGGCGCCTGGGTGGCTCAGTCGGTTGAGCAGCCGACTTCGGCCCAGGTCACGATCTCGCGGTTCGTGAGTTCGAGCCCCGCGTCGGGCTCTGTGCTGACCGCTCGGAGCCAGGACCCTGTTTCGGATTCTGTGTCTCCCTCTCTCTCTGCCCCTCCCCTGTGCATGCTCTGTCTCTCCCTGTCTCAAAAATAAATAAAACGTTAAAAAAAAAAAAAAACAGAACCCAGAAAGCTACCTGAATTCGCACAGGGTTTTACCAGAATCACACTACATTTGTCTCTTTTGGGTACTAACCTCCCCCTCCTCCAGCAAATGAGGTATTTGCTTAGGGCCAGGGCTACCTTAACTGCCACCATTCTCGAGAAGAGACTAAGAGCTCAGCCTCTGGATGCAGGCAGACACAGCTGGACTCTCAACTCTACCTCCGGGAGACCCTGGACAAACCACTGGACCCTGGAGAAGCAAGTCCTGTCCCATGGGTTGTCCTTGGTACAAAGTTCCATGCTCTGCATCGTGACCACACCTCCCAAGCCGCTCGGCAAAGAACAGCTGTTACAGCAACGCTTTCATCACCAGCGTCATGACTGCCTCTACGGCCACCACAGAGCGACAGCCCCTAAGGACACACACAGCACCTGTAAGTGGTCCTTCCCAGCCACCAAGACTGGGGGCTCGGCAAGGTTCCAGACCAGCGGACAGGTGCAAGTTGACCATCCTGCATCTCAACACCAGCAAAGGAAGCCACCCGGCATCTCCCTTTGTTCCCGTATTTCCCTGGTGCCTGGGAAGGGAAGGGCTCCCTGGCCCCGACGCGCCATCAGCACCGGCCCCACCTACCTTCTTCATGAGCATGTAGATGTGGGTTTGCGCGGCATCCAGCACGTAGCGGTGAGGGTGCCTCAGCCCCTTGACCGTGATGTCCATGGTTTTGCCATCTATGTTTATCCATCGCCTCGCCCCGGGGGCCAAGAATAGCCTGGAGCAGGGAGGGAAATGTTAGCGAGTAGCTACCCCAAGTCCGTGAATGAAAGTTCACAGCCGCTTGGGAGGGAGGGACTGACAGGACTCAGGTCACCGGGAATGAAAGCGGTCCTTTTTTTTTAGGAGACAGGAAAGAGCCCTGAACAGGTTGTCACGTGACATTGCTCAGCCGCAAGAAAACAGTCACGCCCGTCTTCAGAAGGGGAATATTTAACTTTAGCGTCCCCCACCCCTAAGAGAGAAAACAAAATGTTGGTGGGCAACACCAGGCGTTAGAATAAAGAATCCAATTCCCAACGTAATGCCTTCTGCCTCATTCACCAGGATTTGGGGCCCACCCGGAACCTCCAAACAGGTGTCCCAGGGCCCCTGCTCTCCTTTGGCCCAGCCTAGATGTATTTAGAAAAAAAAATTTTTTTTCAAGTAATCTCTATCCCCAACGTGAGGCTCAAACCCACTGCCCCGAGATCAAGAGTCGTCTGCTCCACTGACGGAGCCAGCCAGGCGCTCTAGATGCATTTAGAAATGAATCTCAAATGCTGGGTCGGGAAGCAACCTATAGTCCCAGCGCCCAGAGGGTGGATGACGAGGGCATCCTTGCTAATGGTCCCAGAGAGAACCCAAACCCAGCCACATGGCTCCCCACTGTTCCCCCTTCTGAGTTGTTTCAGGGTTAGAGATGCATGAATGTTTTGCCACACTATGCAGCTGTACGTTAAAATTTGGAGATTTAGGGGCGCCTGGGTGGCTCAGTCAGTTAAGTGTCCAACTTCAGCTCAGGTCATCATCTCGCGGTTCATGAGTTCGAGCCCCACCTCGGGCTCTGTGCTGACAGCTTGAAGCCTGGAGCCTGGTTCAGATTCTGTGTCTCCCCCTCTCTGACCCTCCCCTACTCACGCTCTCTCTCTCTCTCTCTCTCTCTCTCCAAAACAAATAAACATTAAAAAAAATTTAATTTGGGGATTCAGACTAACATTACATACCCAGGGACCCTGGAGAGAAAGGAAGCTGCTATAAAGGTGAAGACAGCTAGTTTTCTTACAGTGGATTTTTGGAGTTAGGGTGGGGGGGGGGGCGGGCAGTCAGGTGCCACTGTTCCCGGGAAGGGTGTCACAGGACCTTCCCGGAACCACAATCCCTCCGTCACCCCTGTCTCTCTCGGTGCACAGTCCTTGCGTGGGAGGAGGTGGACACGTTGTTGAGAAAGTGCAGAAGCCTTCAAGCGTGAGGCCCGAGACCTCCAGCCCTTGCCTTCAGTGTTATTGGTCCCTTTCCCAAAGTTGCAGTGGTCCACTCTAAGTCCGCTGGAGGGACACCAGAGGTTGAGATGGACGAGTGCACAGAGGGGAGGGGCCACCTGGCCTGCTGCCCCAAGCTCAGCGCCACAGTCCGCTGGCTGCCGGGGACTGGTCCCAGCCCAGCACGGCAGCAGGGCTTTGACAACCATGGCTACGCATGTGAGTACGACCCGAACGTGCTGGGCACTCAGAGCCCAAGACTGGTGTCCCCTACGTCCAGTGCTCGGGGGAGGGAGGGTGCAGATCTCAACCGCTCGGCACCCGGCAGCACCGGCTGTCTGTCTGTCTGTCTCTCTCTCTCTCTCTACCGGGCCATGAGAGGGAGGCCTGGCCCTCTGAGGCCCTCTGAACTGGAACCCCTGCTTCCTGGGTAACACAGAGGGTGGCTTAGGGGAAAGACAGGGCTGGAGCAGAACAGACTCACTGCTAGAACGAGCAAGTGGGGCCTACAGCCATTAGGTGCAAGATTAGAGATGTACGCACATTTGTACGCCCAAGCGGGGTGCACGGTCCCAGAGGCTTGGGGGATCTCCCTCTCTTCGTGGTCCTGACTTCTGCAAGATGACTGGGGAGAGGAAGTTTTCCCACACCACCTGGTCTCTCTCCTCTCAAACACGCACGCGCGCACACCCCTCTCGAGACATCTAAGGGGGGGGGTTGGTCAAAGACAAAGCACTTTGCACTATAACTCGGGGCAGCCTGCTTTAACTCCTGAGCACATCCCCCTTGGTGCAGGGCGGTGACATCATGCGCCTTCCCAGACTTTCATCCGAGGGAGCCCCAAGCCTTAGCGAGGAGATAGCTATCCATAGCACGGCAGGTGCAGTGACTAAGGCCCACACCAGGAATGCGGTCCCTCCCATTCGATCTCAACCTCAAACGCAAGGGGTGGCCAGCAGAGGCCCCTCGGGCAGCTCTCCCAACAATCTGGCTGGTCCTCACTTGTAAATCTCCTCCGCTTTCTCCTTGACCTTGGACTGATCTCCGTACTTCAGATCTTCACAGGCTTCCCAGAATCCCAGATTCTCCCCTGCACGAAGAGGAGGGGTCCACGCAGATGAAAGCCAAGCAGGAACGAAGGCGGGCGAAGAAAAGAAGAAAGAAAGGAGACGGGTCAGCTGGGGTGGATTCGGTCCCCAGCCCAGTGAACACCTTCCTTCCCTCTGCAGAACAAACCAGGGCACCCTGTGAGGCTAGACAAAGATAGGACTGTCCCAGGCTTGCCTGTCTGGAATTTAGCTGTAACAAACATTGCTCGAGCAAGTCGGCATCTGATTAGGCTTGTGAACATCTACTGCTACACGACAGGCTTTCTCCATAAAGGTCCCCGTTTGCTTTGCTCATGTTCAGTGACTGCACGTGACTTCTGCCTCCTTGGCGTGTATAGGCGCGCCCCGCCCCCCTTTGATAGCCCCTCCAGCCAAAGGTGCTTCCAGAGAGGCTACAACAGGCAGCGAAGCTGATTGACTCACTCTCAGGGAAGGCCTGGCCAGCGGGGGACATAACAGAGAGTCGCCCGAGCCAGACAGACTCCAGAAGGAAAAGCCAGTCTCCTCCCGAGCCTTCCCTTCCTTTCAACGTAAAACTCTCTAATCCGTCTCCACGGCACCCACAAGGAAGGTGAATACTCTGGCGCCATTGTGCCAGGTGGTCATTTTTGCCTGAGAAAATAAAGATGATCACACCAGGGGGACAGCAAGTGCCTGTGTGTGTGCACGCGCGCGCACGTGCTTGTAAATCACAGCACACCGTGGTGTGGGGAAATAGACAAGAACTCCCCCTCGTCTCCTTTCATAGCATTTTCTGGAAAGCTCCCAGGTGCTTTGGAATGGAAAAAGCTGCACAATCCTAAGCTAGTTGACATCTGTCCCATAACCCTATACAGGTCCCTCCTCTTCGGCATGAACTTCAGGATGTTCTGAGGACTGAGATCACAGGCACGAATAAACAGGCCAGCGATGCTTTTAAGGGACAGCCGTCGGTTTCACATCGGGTGCAACGCAGACCACCTCACCCAGGGCACAAGATAGCTGATTGCTTTAGGTTAAATGAGCAGTTATTCACAACAGCCAAAGGTGCGAAACAAAATTGTCCACCAGCAGGTGAATGGATACCCAGAACGTGGTCTATACCTACAATGGGATATGATTCCGTCTTCAGCCTCTTTTGCTTAACGTTTATTGAGTTTTGAGAGAGAGTGTGTGAATGGGAGATGGACGGAGAGAGAGGGAAACAGAGGAGCTGAAGCGAGCTCTGCACTGAAAGCAGCGAGCCCCACGTGGGGCTCAGACCCACCAACCTGAGATCATGACCTGAGCTGAAGTCAGATGCTCAGCTGACTGAGCCACCCAGGTGCCTGATTCAGCCTTCACAAGGAATAAAATTCTAACATGGGCTACAACAGGGATGCACCTTGAAATAAGCCAGTTCAAATGGACAAAAGAAAAACCATATGATTCTACTTATACGAGGTACCTAAAACAGTCACATTCACAGAGACAGACAGGAAAATGGAGGTCACTGGGAGCTGGGGGAAGGGAGACTGGGGAGTTAGTGTTTAACGGGGACAGAGTTTCCGTTGGGGAAGGTAAAAAAGTTCCGGAGTCGGATGGTGGAGACGGTGGAACGGCAGCGTTGGAGATACTGAACCAAACTGTACCTGTAAAGATGGTTAAAATGATACATTTCATGTCATGAATATTTTACGGCCATAAAACACTAAACGAGCACACGAAAATGTGTACATGAATGTGCAGAGCAGCATTATTCGCGATAGCCAGAAAGTCTTAACCACCCCAAGGGCCACCAAATGATGAGTGGATAGACAAAATGCAGTACATCCACACCGTGGAGTATTATTTGGTCATGAAAAGAACTGGACCACTGCCCAACGCCATAGCAGAGATGAACCCTGAAAACGCTTTGCTGCGTGAAAGACAAAAAGCCACACAGTGTATAATTCCATTTATAGGAAATGTCCAGAACAGGCAGACCCATGAAGATAGAAAATAAATGAGTGGTCACCTAGGACTGGGGGAGGGGGGGCGGGGGTGGAGGAGAAAGTAATGGGGGGCAGAGGAGGAGAGAGGAATAGGGCTCGACTTTTAACGAGTAAGGGGTTTGTTTTGGAGGTGGCGAAAACGTTCTATAATTCTATAGTGTTGATGGTTGTGCGACTTTGTGAATGTACTAAAAATCACTGCTTTGTACACTTCGAAAGGATTATGGCATGTGAATTACATGGTCTGTGTATTTATGGTATGTGAAGTCTATCTCAATTTTTTTTTAATTTTAATTAAATAAGAAAACCAATGATTCATCTTCCCTGTTTATATCTGAAGCCTTGGGAATCTCATGAGGAATCACCAAAGTTTGTGTTGTTTTTTTTTTTACATTTCTTTAGTTTGCGGGGTGGGGGGGTAGAGAGAGACCTACGGGGGTCGAACCCACGAGCTGTGAGAGTGATATCATGACCTGATCTGAAATCAGGAGGGATGCTTCACTGACTAAGCCACCCCATCAGAATTAACAGGGAAGTCTTTTCAACGTGATCTCGCTGTCACTAAGTAATGGACGGGATCAGCCCGGGGGGTGTGGTTTGTCGTTTTGCCACTAGATGGCAGCCTATCCTCTTATTCTCCGGTTGCTCCAGGGGCCCCAGCTAAAGGCACTTGCCTTTCCCATCATCTGTTCTGGGTTTTACCGTTATCATGGCAATTAGGCTTGATTAGAGAGGATTGCCAAGGATCCACATTATAATGTGATGCGCTGCATCAGGCGGTCAAAGAGGCTAATGGCCTGTCCCCTGGGATTAGTTCAGGAGCAACCCCCTGGACAAATGGGTCCTGGGAGCCAGCAGCTGAGAAGCGAGGTTCAAATGGGATGCTTTGCAGGGCTGGGGGGATTCAGTAAGCAGATGACGAATCCCATAAAAGCACACATCTCAGCCAAAGCTGGTGAAGCCAATTGAATGTTTGGCCTGATGAAACCGGTTTTAATCTGGCCTTTCGTTTTCCCAGGTGTTTCTCGGGGCAGTGTGTTTGAAAAAGTCACCAGTGCCTCCCTACTACCATGCGGGGACACCCAGAGTGTGTGTCTCTGAGACACCAGGAGTAGAAAACGGGGCCCCGCCCGTCCCACTAAAATCGGCACACTCCCAAGGCCCTGAAGGAAGTAGGGCAGGAGCTGAGATGGTTCTAGAGCTCAGCCATGTATTAGAATCACCTGGGGAGTTTTCAGACCTGCGGAGAACCCACCCCAAACCAAAACCAAAACAAAACAAAACAAAACAAAACAAAAGGAACCTCTGGAGAAGGCATCCGGGCAGATGTGTTTTTAAAATCTCCCCAGTTGAACCGAATGCACAGCCTGGGCAGAGAAGCACTGAGCTGAAGGAAAGCAGGCTGCAGGACAAAAAGAGAAAGCTTGTTTTTCCGCTTCCCTCCTGGCCAGGGCTTGGCGAGGGACTCTTGGACTCTGACCGTAGAATCAGGGTGAGGAAGTGAGAGAGCGGCCGGAGGGGACCGGGCCCTTGCACATGCGAGTAATGCTAAGGCGGACGGATTTCATTAGCAGATTCAACACCCCTCATCCCTACCCCCCACTATGGAGCCCCTTGGAAGGGATGGAAAGGACACGTCCAAGAAGAGCCTGTTGAAGAGCGCGCGGGCGCAGAGCTGTGAAGACACCTACCGAGAAAGCCTCGAAAGCTTTGCCAGACAGTTCTAACAGGTGTGTTGCTGCAAGTAAAAAATTGTAAAACAAAAAATGTGTGAAAGAAATCAAAAGACCCACCACTGAATTCTTTCTTGAGAAAGTACTGGAAGCTCTGTCGGCCCTTGGGGTCTCGGATCAGTTCACTGAAGTTGAAAGCCCATCGCTCCACCCGCATCTTGGTTGGGATTTCCACCCTGCAAAGATGATGATCTGTAAACGCACCAGACACAATGCAAGACAGGGGCCGTGCCAGGGGGTGGCCCGGCTGGGGGAGAGGGGCTTTAGCACCCCCCTAAGTTCACGAGTCCCTCCGCCCAGGGCTCAACCCGATCCTCCCCCCTCAATCCCTGCACGAACGTACAAGTGATCCCTCGCTAGGAAAATGCAGCCTCGGACAAGTCCCCTGGGGCTTTTATGGAGAGCGGGTGGCCCAGAGGCGAGAAGGACGCCCACATTCAACAGCCTTACAGTCCGGCAAAGGAACACGGATGCGCCCTCCAAGGCTTGTGGAGACTGGCCAGCAGAGGGCCGGTCAGGCTGCCACACCAGACCAGAGAGGAAGGATTTCCAGAGCAGCACTGGTGACGCGGGCTGTGGTCACTGCCACCCCTCCCCACGCCCCTTCACCACCGGCATCTGGTGGGAGGGAGTCTGTGGTTCCTCCTTTACCTGCCCTCAGGCCCCGAGCCCCAGGTAGACCCTGTGGTCACCGATGGGCCCTGTCCCAAAGCATCCTCCAACATGCAAGTCCCACGCCCCCTCCGTGTTTGGAAGGGTCTCCCAGCTCCCAGGTGGGACATCTGAGCGCAGCTGGCTGAGGCCTAACATTCCAGAAAATCAGGAAAAGGGTTGGCTTTTCTTCCCATTCCTTATGAAATTCTCCAGAACCCGGCACAGCCCCTTGGAAACAAAGGCTTCCAAGTCCACGACCCCGGCCCAAGAGTTCGCATTTCTAACCAGCTCCCCGCTCGTGTTGCAGCTGCGGGTCTCGGGACCACACTGGGAGCCACACTGCTCTAGACCAGTATCACGAATCCCGGCTGTTCATGAAAACGAGTGGGAGCTTTTCAAAACCACCGGTGAGGATACGAGGGTAGCCCCGGCCAATTAAGAGGCTGCGGGGGGGTAAGGGCTGGACATTGGGCTTTGTTTACCTTTTGGTTGTCAAGCCTCCCAAGGTGATTTTAATACGGCTTTCTGATCTAGACCATTCAGAACAAGGCTTCCTGTTTTCAACGGGCACCATTGACGGGCGGAGGCTCCGGAAAACCACCCTACAAACTAGAGCCCCCAGAGTAGGAGGGAAGCCTCTGCGGAAGGTGGTTCTAGAGTCTTCGGGTCTGTGGTTGATATTGGTAAACAAGTCACCCCGAACTCCAGATGAGTGCCCCCCTTAACCCATCAGGCCCCCACAGCAGGGCCAGGAGGAGGAGGTGGAAGGATTTCCCAGCTATGTCTGCTTCCCTGGCTGGATCTGTGCTCCCTGAATGTTCCTCGTGCCTTACGTGGCAATGGCCTCGGTGGTGACCTAAACTGTGGTACGCACCTGATGCTGTCTTCCCCACCTGCCTCATCCACTCCTACAGCCCCTTCCTTCCTCCCCTCTTCCTCTACCTCTCCCTCTGACGTGACCGTTACACCTTCTCTTCTTCCTTCATTGGCCGATGCTCTCCTGCATTTCTGCCTTTGTCCCTCTGGCAAACAACAGGCTCACATAGGCACAATCAGCAGTGCAAATGCTCAAAACTCACAAACAGAGCCACGGAGTGAGTGGTACGATTGCCAAGGCAGGTGCAGGGCCCCGCCCTCCAGGAACTTGTTCTCTAATTAGCCGTGGAAAAGGCAAAGCCGTAGAGATGGTCGTTTTCTTTTCAAAAACAGTATCTTGTTAATATAGAGTTACCATTTGACCCGGCCATTCTACTCCTAGGTACATACCCAAGAGAAATGAAAACATACGTCCACACAAAACCCTGTATGTGCATGTTCACAGCAGCAGTACTCATAATAGCTGAAAGACCAAAATAACCCAATGTCCATCAACCGATGAATGGATAACAAAGTGTGTGTCTTTCCAGTGAAGATCATCCCTGGATGGATGATATTCATCCATAAATAAGGATGTATTATACACTATACAATACAGATAAAACCTGAAAGCATTATGCTCAGTAGAAAAAAAAGCTAATCACGCGAAAAGAGACCACATGTTATATGATTCCATTCACACGAAATGTCCAAAGTGGGCAACTGCGCTGAGACAGAAGATACTTTTGTGGTTGCCTAGGGCGGGAGGGGCAGGGGGGGAAGGGTTCTTATTTGGGTGATGAAAATGTTTTAAAATTAACTGTGGTGATGGTTGCACGACTCTAGGAATATCGTAGAAACCACCGAACCGCACGCTTTAATTGGGTGAATTGTATGGCATGTGAATTGTAACTCGAAAACCTATTTAAAAAAAAAAACCACCAATGTATCAAATACATACAATTTGGCATTCAAGTCCCAGAACTGGGTGTCATCTGTTATCCAAGGATTGCTAGGGAGGCAGCCTGACATGATGGCATCATTGGACAGAAATTGCTCGCTGTATTTGACGATCCTGAAAAGCAAACGGAAAAGGATTTCCTAGAAGTTCAACACCCAAGAGACAAAATCAATACTCAGGTTGATTGACCAGCCTGCCCTCCTTCCTCTTTATCGATTTAGTTACATACTTATTACTGTCTTCTTAGAAAAACGCTCTAATAGCCCTCGGGAACGGCAGGTATTCGACGGGATCTGGTCCCGGCTCTACTTGGGAGATGAAACACTGTCTCCCCATCCAATCCCTTTGCAGTCTCTCTCCTGTACCTATTTCATTAAAATAAAGGCTCTTTATCTTTTATCGTGCGTTTTCAAAATTCAAAGCCGACGCCGTGTGCCCGTATTCGAACCAGGGTCTCGGCACCTGCTTGGAAGCATGAGGCAGCCATGGTCTCTCTGAGATTCTGCTGCCACGTCAGGTTCTATCCTTTATCAGGATAATGCATTCATCCTCCAAAACCTGTGGGCTCACTGAGGTGTGAAGCCCAATTTTGCAAATGTGAGCAAGAACTAATTCCTTCTATGTGAGTTAGACCTTCTTAGCCAGCACATTTCCCGGTGTTCGGGCAGTCTGGAAAAGCCTGCTGTGCCTCTACCCCTTAGGCGGGGAATCGTATCCACGGTGTACATGAGACACCTGCCGTGAAGTCTGCCCCCAGCCACGAGATTTTGATAGAACGGAATCCATGCCCTAGAGATACACCCGAGCATGAGGTGTAGAGTTCTGTGCAGAACTCGAGCCCCTTGCTTTCATTTCTCCCCAGACCCTCCTATTTCTCAGCAAGACCCCTACAGTGGAGCCACTCAAGGGAAGAACAAAGAAAACTACGTCACAGGTCCAAACACAAATGATGTCATACAACGGTAACGAGGCACTAAAACAAATAAAAATTAGAAAGTGGGGGTAAAAATATCCAACAGCCTTCGAGTCTCCTTCAATGTTCTTTCTGCTTGGTTTCATTAGATCGGGTCTCCGGAACATCGGAGGAGATGGTTTTTACTTTGTCACGAAACAGGGATGATCATTATAACCCAAGGTGAATGTCCACTGAGTATAGGGGTCCACTCCCATCTGTGACGGAGCTGCAGTCAGAAGTCATTGGAAAATGTGGGTGAGGTCAGGGCACATTTTATCAGGCAGGTGGTATGTTTGCAAACTAGGGATTGGGGAAGGGGTAAAAAAAGATATTTGAAGATTTTTCGAAGAGACTAACCCCTAACAGTACTGGAAGAAAGGCACTGGACAAAACACAACGCCTTCCATCTTGAATAGTACCATTACTGAAATCTTACACGGCCAAAATAAATGATTAGTCACACTGTGCCCCCACCCCCCAGAAGTAAGCCAAGTCCATTTTCATGTGTGCAGGAAAATCTTAGAGTTAGCAAGGTGGGCCTATAATGAATTCCACATCTTAAAAGGACAAGTGCTTACATTTGGGGGGCACTAAACCCCTTTGTGTCTCCCAAATAATATCCTATGAGGGACTGGATCAAGGTACCCTGAATGTTCAATAAATAAAATGTAAATTTCCAATTTATCATCACTGGATTTTAAATCAAAGATTAACAATGGACATTTGATAGTGCGTTGAATCAGTAAACATAACTCAAATATCTGTAATAAGTTCGAGTGAATAATGATAGGAACACAGGCCACTGAGGAGCCCCAAGGAACAGTTCATGAACTTTCAACTCTTCCCTCCTTCTCAATCCTCACTTTAGTGGATCCCAAGAAAGACGAGACTTGTATAAAAACGCCCATTCCTGATCTTGGCTAACCCAAGATGAGACCTGGACACTTACACAGACTGAGGAACCAGGAACTTAATCCTCAAGGGACTGGTTTTGTCCCTCAGAGTTCCTTAGGCTCTTATGTCAACTCATGACTGCTCAAGTTTGCCTGAAAGTGGAAAGTTCTCCTCTTGCCCACCTCTTGTTCAAACCTCAGCAAGACCAACTAATTAGGGACATACCCTCCAAGGGACACCGAAGACTTCACCGTGGACCTCATTAAGGCCTGTTGGTAATACATGATCTGAAAAAGACACAGTGGTTAGAAGATGTCCAACTTCCCCACCTTGAGTGTCACTAACACTGGCACTTCCATGTGGCCTCCAGAACCAGGAGCCATTTATCTGTCACAGCCCCCGATTCCATCCCCTCAAGCCACCCACCTTGGTACTAACAGGACACAGGCTCACAGTAGACAGGTGACCCCAAGCTCCAAACTAGGGGCCTCTGCAGCCCATCATGTATCAGTCCGGGAAAAGGCACCAATTGAAAAAGCAAAAAGTTCTAAGGAACATTAAATCGAGACATGGGGACAGATGCTTGGCTTTTCCCTCAGGTGCTCCTGGCTGGCAGAGCAGGTCTAACCTCAACAGCCAACGCTTCCCAGGGCTCTGTCTTGTGCCCTGGTCATGAAATTTGCCAAAATGGGTAGTGTGCCTGTTCAGATTCTGAATGTCCCCCTAACTGTAGGAGCAGGGGCCGGGGTGGGGAGGCAGACACTGTGGCATTCACTCCCACGTCCCTCAGATCTGTGCCTTCTGAGGGTGTCTCATATCCCAAGCGTCATCAGCACCAATCCATGTAGATCTTACAAAAGAATCTTTGTCATTCTGTGCTGCCCATTACTTTGGAGACAACTGTTTGAACATTACACGCGGTTTTTCATTTCATTACTGAAGGCAGAACATAAAGCCAAAGTACACACAATTTGTGAGAGGATTTAAAAACCAAACTTCCCCGGGACTGGGAAACTAATTACCTCTTTTCTGACAGCAGTGATTGTTTGTTTCTGTAAAACAAAGAGGCAAAAACCATTAAACAGCTGCCAGTAAGTCATTATAGTTCAAACGCCCATTTGAAAGATAAAAATCCTTGCCCATGAGAAAATTGTTTCACCTCTCCTTCCTTAAAAGATAGAATTTCCCCATCACTGACACCTCCACCCTATTCTATACAACCACTGGAGAATTCATTCAACTAAGGCTTTGGTGAGGGAACAGGTATGATTTACTACCATAACTTTCTTTTTTAAGTTTATTTATTTTGAGGTGGGGTGGGGGGACAGAGAGAGAGAGGGAGAGGGAGAGTCCCAAGCAGGCTCCACGCTATCGGCACAAAAGCCCAACATGGGGCTCGAACCCACAAACTCTGAGATCATGACCTGAGCTAAAGGCAAGAGCCAGACACCCAACCGACTGAGCCATGCAGGTGCTCGATATACTACTATAACTTTGCACTGTTCTCCCAAAAGCCAAGATGAATTCAAGACTAAGTTCAGGGATTCGACCCAATCTACCATAGTGCCTACAGGGCCATCTTAAATAGAATGCGACGCAAAGACGGTGAAGCAAGTATGCGGCTTGAATGTTTATTTCTTTTCTCACAGGAGACTGCTCTGAATGAATGGTGACCTCCATTCCTCAGGTATTCATAACAACTTGACCGATACAAATTGGAAAAGAAACAAGCCACATGGCCAAACATAAAGTACGTAACAAAAAAACCTGAGACCAGCATCCAAGGAAGGTGAGTCCCAGAGTTGAGCTGTAATGTGGAAGATCATGTCGGGCCCCATCCTCTCATTGAAGCTGCCAAAGCAAGCTCATGCCTGGGGTGAGCAGGGCATCCTCTCTCTGGATTTTTTGAGATGGAGCAGAGAAAGCCTGGCTCCCAAAAGGGACTCCGTGTATAGAGTCTTAGAAGCTCCTGGAAACTGTTACCATTCAGATCTGTCTCCTACTGAAATGCTCTACAATCTGACATGCTTCCTTAGTATCACTTTTCTGCTCGGTGCAACCCCTGGGAGCTGGGCACAGTTGATGATTCCAGTCTCAGTTTTTTGAGATTTGGTTGTGTCCAGGGGCTGCTTGGTGCTGACACCCATACTTTAAATTGATCATCTTAATTTCTTGCTGCTATCATCCAAGCAACTTAACACAACCAGATCTTCACTGGAAACAGAATCAGAAGTCCAAGGAGGACACTATTTCCACTAGCCAGTTAGCAAAATAAGTACTGGCCCATGAGCCCATTGACAAGGAATGAAGGAAGGTCTAATCTGGAATGTCACATCCTTGTCTCTCCTTTCTAATCCATGCTGGGTTCCATTCTGCTTCATTAGATTGCTTTCATGTCATGAGTTTTCCCAGGACATCCTTTTTCCTGGGTGGAGGAGTAGGGAGAGTTATCTCAGAAAATTAAAGGTAGGTCTCTCCGTTTTGGACTCACATGCACCCTGACTTCTTCCTTCATAGCACTTACCACAACTGTAATTAAATATTTATTTGTGTGATTCTATTTCACATATGTATCACCCGCCAGGCATCATTAAGAGCAGGGGGACCATGTCTGCCTCTAACATAATTTCTGGTGCAGGTAGATGTTCACAAAAACATCAGACACGGATGCCTGGGTGGTTCAGTCTGTTGAACATCCAACTCTTGATCTTGGCTCAGGTCATGATCTCAGGGTTTGTGAGAATGAGCCCCGAGTTGGACTCTGCTGACGGCACAGGGCCTGCTTGGGATTCTCTCTCCCTCCCTCTCTCTCTCTCTGTCCCTCCCCTGAGTGAGTCTTTCTCTCTCTCCAAATAAATAAACTTTAAAAACAAACAATCAGAAAAATGATGGCTTCCAGTTCTTGGTGGCCCAGAAAAATGGAGATGTATTCTAAGCTTAAATTAGAATACAGTATTTTTCCACCTAACATGTTTGAGACACTCCCCAAATGGTCCCTATTTTGGTAACCACACCTATTATCTGTTCCCATTGTCTCCTAACAGGAGGCATTGTTTTAGAAGACTCTCATTTCAGGTAGAAAAGGACCCTGGGGTCAGAGTGGCTTGGCATCCAAACATGATACAATCAGAATCTCTTGTTAGAAGTGTGCTAAAGTAGACTAAGAATAACAGCTACTGGTCTACCAACGCCCTGTGTTCAAAGCGGAAGCTGGCTGTTTGCATAATAGCAACCAAGTGGCAATTCATGCAAGGCAATTTACATCTTCCTGATCCCTCACAAAGTTTAAGGGAGGCAGGTTCCATCATTCTGAGTTTCAGCTGAGGAAACCGAGGCTATGAGATGCTATAGGACAACTTTCTCAATATCTCCTGGTCGGTAATTGGTTGAGCCGGGATTCAAACCTAGATCTTCCCTTTGCAAAGCTGAGGAGTGATCTTGGAGAACCAGAAAATAGCCTACTCTCTTCACCAGTTCCTTCTTTGCCTTCAAGCGGCAGGTGCTACACAACGGAATGACTCTGGCCGGCCATTTAAGTTAAAACCAAACAAAAAGAGAGCTTTAGCCCCCATCACAAGATGAAACAGAAAGACAGGAAACACTCTTTAATCAAAAGTAATGACAGTAAAACCAACTCCCAGCTACAAGATAAATAAACTCTGGGGAGCTAACACACAGCACGGGGACTATAATTAACAATACTGTAGTCTATACTTCTACTATGCCAAAGAGAGTAGATCCTAAATGTTATCACCACACACTCAAAAAAACCATACTTATGTGAAGGCACGGAGGTATTAAGTAACCTCATGGGGGTCACAGTTTTGCAATTCATACCTATTTCTAAGCATCGCATCGTACACCTTAAATTCATATATGTTATATGCCCACGAAAGCTCAAGGGGAGAAAACCACTAATGACGGTAAGGATCGCGATCATACGAGGCCTGTGTTCAACAGCCAGCGTCATAAACGCCCTCCTGCAAAGTGCCCCAGGCCCAAGGTCAAACTCCCTGCAAGCACGGGTCTCCTGAGCACACAGCAACAAAAACTCAATGAGCCGGATTCTCAGTCCGCCTGACATTCTCCGTTCTCCCGGCTCCCCGAGGAGCCGTCCCTGCAAGTCAATCCTTTTCACACACACTCTCAATCCACTTTATTTGGCTTTAATTACCCCATTAGGGCTCCTGCCTCGGTGGTTCAGTCTGCTGTTTGTTTTCTGCTTTCCAGGACCACCAGCCACCCTCTGGGAATAGCACAAAACCTGGGGCTTCTCCACCTCTACCTTGGGTTTCCCACATGGATTTTACTGGTTATTTCTAGCTTTAAAAATAGCTTTCCGGGGGCGCCTGGGTGGCAGTCGGTTAAGCATCTGACTTCAGCTCAGGTCACGATCTGGTGGTTCATGAGATCGAGCCCCCCCCCCCCCCCCGTCGGGCTTTGCACGGACCGTGCGGAGCGTGCTTGGGATTCTCTCTCCCTTTCTCTCTCTGCCGCTGTCCCACACTCTCTCTCTCTTTCTCTCAAAATAAGTAACAGCTTCCTCTTGACGGATATAAGAGTACCTCTGTCCTGCTAAGGGTCTGTCTACATTGGGATGGTACAGGAGAGGGTTCTGAACTTTTCTAACAGACAGAGAGAGAGAGTTCGGGGAGAGGGGTAAGTCTTAGAAAATGGTATGGACTTTCAGATCAGGCCCAGGTCCAATTATAGGTTCTGTCACTTATTGGCCATATGACTTCGCATGAGTTATTTAGCACTTCAAAGCCTCTTTCCTCCCTTGTAAAAGGGGATTAAAAGGGGGGGGAGGGGATTAAATGAGATAATACACACAGGTGACTGGCATATAGGAGAGGCTCAACATCCAGGGGCTCCTGACTGAGGTTCACACACTACTGCTGACAGCAGGCATGGTATGGGGTTACCCCAATCACAAGGTAAAGGACAGGGTGCCCATCAATATCTGGGACATACTTATGCTAAAGAAGCTATCTGTTGTTTATCTGAAATTCAGATTCAGCTGAACACCCTGTATTTTTATTTGCTCATAAATATCTCATAAACTGGTCAATATCATTATTACTTAGCCAAAGGCCATTTAAAAAAAAAAACATTAAAGGGGCACAGGGGTGGCTCAGTCGGTTAAGCGTCTGACTTCAGCTCAGGTCATGATCTCTCAGTCTGTCAGTTCGAGCCCTGCTCTGGGCTCAGTGCTGACAGCTCGGAGCCTGGAGCCTGCTTCAGATTCTGTGTCTCCCTCTCTCTCTGCCTCTCCCCCACTCATGCTCTGTCTGTCTGTCTGTCTCTCTCTCAAAAATAAATAAAACATGAAAAAATGTTTTTAACATTAAAATGAAGTTATTAAAAATACACACACACACACACACACACACACACACACACACACACACACATTTCTAAGCCATTCAAAGAAAACCACTTCCTGGCAACATAAGACATATACATTTTTTTCTCCCTGTAATTCATGCACAAACCCCCTGCTTTCTCAACAGTTGGCCCTCCTGGTGGGAAGTCACTTCTTTATTCCCCATCCGAGTGACACATTTGCCTACAGGAAGATACTCTGCCTAAGGAATCTTCAAATGTTATGCATTCTTGGAATTCTAACTTGTTATTTTTCTCCTGTGGAGCTACCCAAATAGGGACACATCTATAGCCTGTTTACACAGCTCTGTGGCCGGCTTGCTGGCCTCAAAACCCGGGTTTTGGCTGCAGACAATTATCAGGCCATGCCCTGAAGAGACCCTGGGGAGGTGGAAAGGGAGGAGGAGGGGCCGGCAGGGACCCTGGGATCAGGCAGCCAGGCAGGAACACACGAAGAAACAGAGGCGAGGGTCTGGCAAGCCACAGGGTGAAACACAAGATGGGGACAACCGTGAGGAATCGGGGAACACAGACATTAAGAGCAGGGAGAGCGTCAAAAGTCAGCAACCAGGAAGTCTGGGGACTGACGCAGTTAATGCAGAGCAGACGAGACTAGAGATGGGAGGCGGCTACCGGCCCAGGAGACAAGAATCCCAGGTTGCCACCAGCCCTGCCTCAGACTTCCTGACCAGGCGCAGATTACACAATTTGCAGGGTCGGGTGCAAAATGCACACACGGGGCCCCTTGTCCAAAGAAAGCATGAAGAATTTTAAGGGCGCCTGGCCCACCGGGAGCTGTCCGCCAACATCAGCCACCAGAGCGGTCCCTTCCAGCCGGCGCCGGCCATGAGAAGAAAGTCGTTTGTCCCCAGTCGGTGGGAGCAAATGGGGGCTTTCTCTCACTGAGGGCTCCAGGCTGAGGGCTCTGAAGCGCAGAGTATTTAACCCTATGGAGCCACATTTCTGTCTTTCACCCCAAGACTGGTGTGCACGCCAGTGTGAACAGTGCTGTTCAGTGGCCTACACAAGAGAGGCCTCCCTTCCTACCGGTAGAAATAGAAGACGGCGTAAGAGTGGAAGAGGAAATTGGCTAAGTACAGCCCTCGAAAACAGGGTCTAGGGTCTAGAGGACCCATAGATTAGTCCACTCACAGCATGGCGGCAGCTACCATAATGACAGCTACCGTCTGTGCAGTGACCTCTACGTGGCAGATACCATTCTAGACACTTCACGTAAGTGATCTCACGTGATCCTCCGAGGAAGGGGCTCTTGTTACCCCCATTTTATAGGTAAGGAAACTGAGGCTCTGAGTGGCTCAAAAGCTTATCTGAGATCACATGTCCAGGGAGAGGCAGGGTTGGGATTCACCCTGATGTCAAAGCTCTCTTCAGCACGGCGCACCGGTCCTCATCACGACATGACCATCGTCACCCTGTCGGGGTCAGGGGAGGAAGGGCCAGCCCCGGGCACACCACTGTTCACGGCCTGGCTACTGCCCGGCCACCATGATGTCTCCTCACTGAAATAAAGGGAAGATGGGGGCCGAGTGTGCCACAAGGTATGGTAACCGAGAGAAGACACGCTCTCTGGGTGCAGCCCTTGGCCCACAGCCAGTTCCCCCCAGGGCTGGGCAGCCACACCAATCAGAGGCCACCAGCCTAAGGAGGTGGGGCACCCAGAGCCCTAGACACCTGCCAACCTAACAGTTTTCTTTCTTGTGCCTGATGCTGTTCATTTCTTTTGGGTTATTTGCCTCCATTTAAGGAAAACAGGTATCTTTTCTAGAATCCACTAATTCTCAGAAATGGCCTCTCTCTCTTCAAACCAGCAACGAGAGCTCTTTTCTGAAATGAGACACAAATCTGAAAGCCCGAGGACTCATGGAGACACTTCACGTTCTTGTGACCCTCTCCCCTCAGGGCAGATCAGCCCAGAAAAACAGGGGATGTTCAGTTAGATGGTGGGAAGTGTTGCCAACAGATCCAACATGGCGCCAGCCTCCATTCCCCGGGCCTCACACACGCTGAGGCTGGCTGAGCAGGAGAGGCCCCGCTCGCATGAGAATTACGGTTTTTTATTCTTCTGAATATTCCAGAGCAGCCAGAGTGCAGACAGGACAAAGAGAGCTGGTGGGAGAGAGAGAGAGAGAAAGAGAGAGAGAGAGACAAGATGAAGGAAAAACAAAGTGAAAGAGCCCCCGTTGTCAAACATGCCCATGGTGAAGACAGCCCTCAGCCTCACACACCTTCTGGCTCTCTGACTCTGAGCTGAGAGTATTGCCAGCGTCTGGCTAGAAGTGGGTGGTGAATGCCAGAAGGCAGGCTCTCCTCCTGGCCCGACCGCCCGTGAGCCGAAAGATGCTTCCTTAGCGAGGAGGGGTCTGGCCAGGCTCCTTGAAGTTACCCCCAAGGAGCACAGAGGACAGAGGACCTCAGCTCCTCTGCTGTCCTCCCAGAGCTGGGATTAAAGGCCTCCCACATCACAGACACACACACACACACACACACACACACACACACACACACAGGTGAGCCAATTCCCAACAGCCCAGGGTCAGAGAACAGTGATGCACTTTCCACCCATGCCCTCCCCTCCTCCACACCACAGAGGTTTCTAGAACTGCCAATTATCCATTTAAAAAAGAAAAAAAAGCACATCTTCCACCTCAGTTCAGTATTTTCCTTGATAATTCTGTTTCCATAGCAACCCAGCCTACTAGGCCTCAGCAATTATCTGTCGTCTGATGAGGGGAATGTGGAAAAAGCCGTGAAGGCTGACAGTGCCATATATGTGTCAAAGGAAGGGTCACTTTAAGTTGCTGACCAAGGGACCTAGCAATGCTCCAGGGGACACAGCCCTCTGGGAACTCAATGCCCCCTCTCCATGTGGACCCCATCCCTAAACTCAAACCTCTGTCTCACGCACTGGTGGTCCCCACAGCCATCTTGAGTTCCAGGTCCCTTTTTCCTCCTTTCTGGCACATTCCCCCCACCTTCCAACTCAAGACTTTAGGCACCACCAAGGCTTACAGGTGACATATGAGGCTAAAACAACCCCTTGCTGCCCAAGGACATTAGAAGGAGAGCAATGAAGCTGTCTAAGACGAGCTTAAGTGGGTTTCAGGCTCCATGGATCTCAACTGGGGCCATCTTGTCCCTCAGGGCACCCTGGACAATGTCTGAAGATACATGTGATTATCAGGACTGGGAGTCTGGCAGGGAAACGCATGGAGTTACTGGCACCCAGGGATGCTACTCAACATCCTACAACACGTAGGCAATCCCTCAAGGAATTATCTGGGCCCAAAGATAGTGCCATGCTTCATGCTCGCTCTTTCAACAGCTTATGCCCTGCATTTCTTTAAATAAAAAATGGCCAGGGCGCCTGGGTGGCTCAGTGGGTTGAGCGTCCGACTTCAGCTCAGGTCACGACCTCACAGTTTGTGGGTTCAAGCCCCGTGTTGGGCTCTGTGCTGACAGCTCAGCCTGGAGCCTACTTCGAATTCCATTTCCCTCTCTCTCTGCCCCTCCCCTGCTCATGCTCACTGTTTCTCTCTCTATCTTTCTCTCATAAATGAATGAATGAATGAATGAATGAATGAATGAATGAATGAATGAAATTTAAAGATAGATAGATAATTGTCATAGAAAAATGGCCATCCATCATAAATGGTGGCCTATCTGGGAAAAGGGTCCTTGCAACAGCATAAGAGAATCTTTGCAAAGGCCCCCACCCTACTACTGAGATGCAAAAGAAAGAGTGACATTCTAGGTCACATGGATTAAGGTTTAAATTCAAAGTTGATTCAATGGTTTTGAGCCTGGGGCCTCTAGTCTCCAGGGGGTCTGGGACCTGGCTGAACTTGTGTGCAAAATGTCTGTCTGGGCATCTTTGGGCAGAATGGGTTCATAACTTTCATCAGATTTTCTTTAATTTTTTTTAATGTTTATTTTTGAGAGAGAGAGAGAGAGAGAGAGAGAGAGAGCGAGCCAGGGAGGGGCAGAGAGAAAGGGAGGCACAGAATCTGAAGCAGGCTCCAGGCTCTGAGCTGTCAGCACAGAGCCCGACGCAGGGCTCAAACCCACGAACTGTGAGATCATGACCTGAGCTGAAGTCAGACGCTTAACCGACTGAGCCACCCAGGCACCCCACTTTCATCAGATTTTCAAAGGAACTGCCTTGTAAAAGTCTGAAGACCAACCACCTAGATCCTATTTGCACTCTACATTCTCTCATCTCCCATCATGCGAGACCCATGGCCTCCCCCCTTCCCAACACTGGTATCACAAGATATCTCTTGGTAGCCTTAAAGGGGAGATATCATTGCCCCAACAGACAAAAATAGGCAATAGACATATGGACACCTTCCCAGCCTAAGAACCTGACCTTGGCCCTGCCCAAAGTATGCAGCAGAGACCTACCTGGTTTACCTGAACTTCATTCGGATTCGTCACTCGGTCCAGGCCATAGTCCAGCACATTGTTCATTCCCGGCTGAATGGAATAAAAACAACATAAGAACCATGACTGGAAAAGCCTCTACTTTATTATGATTCACTTTGGGTCTTCACCAAGCTGCCAGTTATGAGACTGAGCTAAGAAGGGCTATGGCTTACCCCACAGGGTGCTACAAGCTACCGTAAGATGCTCTAGGTGAGCTGTTAAGCTTCATGGGTTTGTTCCACTACCACAGCATCCCCAGAACCCAACACAACAGGATGGATGGGTGGATAGGTGTATGTTTGGGGGAGGGGTGAATGGATGGATAGATTTATGGATGGATGGATGGATGGATGGATGGATGGATGGATGGATGGTTGGATGGATGAAAGGCAATATGGGTGGGTGGATGGATGGATGGATGGATGGATGGATGGATGGATGAATGGATGGTTGGCTGGATGGATGAATGAAAGGCAATATGGGTGGATGGATGGATGGATGGATGGATGGATGGATGGATGGATGGATGAATGGATGGTTGGCTGGATGGATGAATGAAAGGCAATATGGATGGATGGATGGATGGATGGATGGATGGATGGATGAAAAGACGGATGGAGAGAGGGAGGGAGGGAGGGAGGGATAAAACTCAAACTCAGTAAGAGTTCACTGGGATTTGTCCATAGGACTCTGACTCCTCTGGGAGTGCTCCTTCCCCACCCTACAGTGCAGTACTTTGAAGAGTCCAGGCTCCCGTCAGGCACATTTGGGTTCCAACCCTGGATCTGCCACTTCCTAGCTGTAAGGAAGATTTTGGAAACTATTTCTCCTCTCTACACTTGCTATCCCTCCTGAGAACTGGAGATGATCTCTCCTACCTGTCAAGTTCTTGTTGAGGATTTAGCAACATGACATGTGAAGCTCTCACCAGACAGTAGCTATTACTGAGCAAGGGCTTGGGCCCATTTTAGGATCATGTATGTAAAGGCCTGGCCCCAAACGGGCCTCAGTCTTTACCAGTTCCCTTCTCCATCAGCAGCCAACTCTCCAGCCAATCTCGCTTGGTCTCTCCCAATTCCTTGGCCAACAAGTTGGGTCTTTCACTTCCTTCTCTGTTAGTTTGGTGCAGGCAACCATCAAATTCTCCATACGTGTGCTTAACCAGGCCTTCCACACTGATGCAGACGCCAGAGCCTGCCGAACTTTGTCCCCATCAGATTCAACCCCAATGGGATTCGCCACATTTTAACGTAAGTATACAATAAGCATAAAAATTTTGCGACATAAATCATTTGCTGTTTATCTGAAATTCCAGTTGAACTGGGCATCTTCTATTTCACTTGCTAAATGTGCCAGCTTAGCTCAGTGGGCTACCACGGGGGCAGATACTGGGCACACGGACTAGGCAAGGAAGAGAAAAAAGAAAGAAGTAGAAAGTGGGTGGGGAGAGAGAGAGGGGAAGGGAGCGGCCATCGTTACTCTAATTGTCACATGTGGGCTTCCATCAACAAATATTTATCAGGCACTTCCCATGGCTGACATTGCGCTCAGCCCAGAGAGCCCCTGGCCAACGTGACACCTCAAGGCATCCCCAGATGGCATCTCAAGGCACTTCCAGTCTTGTGGGCGAGGCAGCCCCTTGGCAATTAGTCACACACCCCCACCCAGGGGACTGCCTTTCTCCCTCTGCTGGTTTGGAAGGCTCCCAGCCTCCGCTCATTCGTTCCTTTACTCGTCGGGTAGCACCAAGTGCTCGTTCTCCACGGCGGTCACCACCGCTGATGCCGTTTCTGGCGCACAAGAGGGTGCTCGACGAAGACAACCCAGAGCTGACCGCCAGCTCACAGGAAACAGGGCGAAGACATCCCTGCAGTGGGCAGGCGGCCAGCAGATAAGGAGACGCGCAGATGTGCCCAGGGCTGCGGCCACACGCGGGAAGCCCGCAGAGACAGTCCCCCTGCGGTGAGTGCCAGCGGGTGACGCCCCAAGAACACCTCTTGGGCGTCGGCCAAAGAGGCGATTTGCTAAATGCCTCACAATTCGGGTGAGGAAAGGACCCTTGCACCCCCAAAGACTGCTCCGCGAGGAGGCGACATCCCCAGAAAGGGCATTCCAGAGCAAAGCCAGGCTGGGAGCTGACGGACACTTCTTGGTGACACGCCACACGTCCCTCCCGTGCCTTGTCCTCCTCTCCCTCATCATCTCTCTTTCCCCTAACGTATCGGTTCAGACCCTTCCGGCGCATGGAACAGAAAACAACAAAATGCCACACGGTTCCATAAACAAAATAAAGCAGGGGGAAGACAGAGAGGAGGCTGCACCAGGGGACGAGTCCTGGCTGGAACATCACTTCTACGGAGAGGTGCTCCCGGGCCCTGATCTGCCTCGAGACCCCGGCCTCTTTCGCGCTGTGCTGGCGTGCTGTATGGTACACACCCATGGTGCAAAGCTGTCCTTCTTCGTCCCTCCGCCAGACCGCGAGCCCCTTGAGGGCTGTCCTGGCTTAGAATCCAAATACCCCCATTGCCTAAGGGGCACTTGGCCCAGAGAGGGCATTTCTGATCATCTGGATGAGAGTATGTGGAGTTTTCCATCGGTTTTTATGACATAACGCTCTATGTCAGACCATTTTCCCAGGTCAACAAATGGCCTTTGAAAAGGCTATTTTAGTAATTTAATGATTTAATTGCAATGGTCCTTCATATGGATATAATCTTATATTTAAAGGTTTTTTGGTTTTGGTTTTGTTTTGTTTTGTTTTGAGAGAGAGAGCAAGAGAAGGAGAGAGAGAGGGGCGCCTGGGTGGCGCAGTCGGTTAAGCGTCCGACTTCAGCCAGGTCACGATCTCGCGGTCCGGGAGTTCGAGCCCCGCGTCAGGCTCTGGGCTAATGGCTCAGAGACTGGAGCCTGTTTCCGATTCTGTGTCTCCCTCTCTCTCTGCCCCTCCCCCGTTCATGCTCTGTCTCTCTCTGTCCCATAAATAAATAAACGTTGAAAAAAAATTTAAAAAAAAAAAAAAAGAGAAGGAGAGAGAGAGAGAGAGAGAGAGAGAGAATCCTAAGCAGGCTCCAGGTTCAGTGGGGAGCCCAACACAGGGCTCGATCCTACAACTGTGAGCTCACGACCTGAGCCAAAATCAAAAGCTGGATGCTTAACTGACTGAGCCACTCAGGCGCCCCTTAAAGATTTAAATCTATTGAGGCGCCTGGGTGGCTCAGTCGGTCAAGCATCCGATTTGGGCTCAGGTCATGTTCTCGGAGTTCCTGAGTCCGAGCCCCGCGTTGGTCTCTGTGCCGACAGCTCGGAGCCTGGAGCCTGCTTGGGATTCTGTCTCCCTCGCTCTCTGCCCCTCCCCCACTCGTGCGCTGTCTCTCTCTCTCTCTGTCTCTGTCTCTCAAAAGTAAATAAAACATTAAAAATTTTTTTTAAAGATTTAAAGCCATTTACTTATTTAAATCTATTTTGCCATCTCGCTGTTGTTGGACATTCAGCCCAACCTTGACAGGAAACGGAAGGCAGCCACTCTCTTCTCTGGTGACCGGGCAGAGTTCGCGGTTGACATGAAGGCCATTTAGCTTGATACTCAGACAAGCGACCGCGTGATTTAAAGCACACACCACCTGCATCCCTGGACCATATCCTTCACGTATCCACGGTCCAGACGTCAGTGACCAGATCCCCGAGAGACCCAGAAGTCACAGCCCGTGAAGCAAAGACGCACGGAAAGCCCCCAGGTGACTTCTCTGAAGGAACTGTTCTCCCTCGTTCTCCCTCTGCTGCCTTACACAATCAACTCTTGTTGGCATCCTGCCCGGATGCAGCAGGTTAAAAAATGGGAGGGGAACATCACTTTCCTTCATCATTCTCCCCTTCTAGACCCAGTCCCCAGCACATCCATGCTGAGTTACAGGCAGCGTTTGGGCTCAGGATGGGGGTTGGGCCGGATCCCTCAGCCACCACCTCCCATCCCACGTCTCGAGGGTGGTCTTGGCCTCCGTCTGTGCTGATATCCCTCTACAGCATCTGGCACCACATTCCCACCACCCCCTTAACCGATCACCCCGCGCTGTGCCCCCTCAGCACTTAAGCCTTACCTCTGGAGCAGTGCTGCTAGCCCGTTACCACGATTTGGATTTTGCCCCCCTCGAGCTGGGAGAGGGGACCACATGCGGGCGCACCTCCCAGAGCGGGAGCTCGTCAGACAGATGTGGATTCACATCCCAGTGCTGTGCAACCTACTGACCATCTCTGAGCCTTGATCGCCGGCCCCGTCGGGATAACAGCGATGGGGAGACTCCCTATTGGGTGGCATTGTCATCAGGTAAGTGGGATCATCCTCACCAAGGGCTTAATATGGGCAGGGGCTTGAGGACTTTTAGCAGTTGTTTTACGCCCAGAACCCACCTCAGCTGGCCCAGTCAGGGCCCATGAAGGTTTCACGGATCACTGAACAGACAAGGGGACGGCTGGGTAACAGCAAGCCATGTCCCACGCTATGACAGTTGGTTCCAGACAGTCCACACACAGTTGGTTCTAGACTCCACGGAGCCAAAAGCTTTGTTTGCCTGGCTGCCTTTTCTCCCACTGAGGTGACAGTTTGTTTGGGTCTCCTGGGGACAGTCTGACAGTCCCTAAGCCCCTGGGCTTCATGGGTCTGTCAGTCCAACTGCTCGATTTCTACCTAGGCTGAGACAGACTTCAAGCAGGACGCCCCTCAAATGGAACATTCCACCAGGAGGCGGACTGTGTTTTAAGAAAGTCGGGGAGATGGGGGCGCCTGGGTGTGGCTCAGTTGGCTAAAGGTCCAACTTCGACTCAGGTCTCACGGCTTATGAGTTCGAGCCCTGCATCGGGCTCTGTGCTGATGGCTCAGAGACTGAAGCCTGCTTCGGATTCTGTGTCTCCCTCTCTCTCTCTCTCTCTCTGTCTGCCCCTCGCCCCACTCACACTCTCTCTCTCTCTCTCAAAAATAAATAAGCGTTTTAAAAAGTTAAAAAAAAAAAAGTTGGGGAGAGCAGGACCCAGATGCTCCCCAGCCTCATCTTTGACTTCTGGTCCAGCTTTGGCTTGGGGGGCAGCACTGACAGGGACTGGATGCGAGAACAGTTTTGCGCCCACGGGGTTTTACGACTGCCCCAGGTACACCAGAACGTCACGGCGAACTTGGCTCCCTGGCGCTATCAAAGAGGGACTGGGTACCTTGGAACCCTGGCATCATGTTCGTTGGAGCAGCAGCGATTCATGCAATGCGCTAATGACTGGGGGGGGGGGGGGGTACAAAAAGGCCTTCGGATGCGCTAAGACATCACGGGACACTGTCGTGGGTGGATAAGAGCAGAGGGACCGGAGAGAGAGCTCCTCTGACACTCACTAGCTGTGCAACTTTGGCAACATCCCTGAGCCTCAGCATCCTTATCAGCAGAATGGGACTAATAATACCACCTTCTACACGGGGCTGCAAAGATGAGATGAAGGAACGAATGCAGAAGGGTGCTAGCACAGTGCCCGGCACACACTTATGTGCTCAGTTGGGTCTGCTGTGATTGATGACGACGATGGCGGCGGCGACAGTCACAATGGTGCCGGTGGAGGCGGAGGAAGTGGGAGCAGTGGTGGTGGGTTGGCGGCGGCACAGGTGATGGTGGAAGAAGCAGTAATCACAGAGTCGCCTTGTCAAATTCAGGGACTTGTGCATCATACCGTGTGCAGCCACTCGGCCACAAGCCACATCATACTTGTGCAGCCACTCGGCCAGTTGCCTGGGGCGGGGGCTGAGAGCTTTCCCCAAGACATGGGGAGAACTCAGATCATCTGGTTTTCACTCTGTTCCCTACAGGCCTCGTGGCTGCGGGGACAGAGGGGAGGAGAGAGGCCCGGGGCGGATCCTGTGCACAGCCCGTCGATGTCACGTTGCAAGCGATGCAGTCACCCGGCTATTTCCCCACCACGGAGTCTCTGCATGTACCACGGAAGCCATTCTCCACCGTGCAAGGAGCAGGGTCTCCTCCATCACGAGTGCCACGGGCACCAGGACATCTTGCCAGATGAGTGGCTTACCCGTCATTTGCCCTTATCCTCACCAAGGCTCCCGGTTAGGAACAGATGACAGGAGGCAGGCTGAACAAAGATGTCACTCCTGAGCTACGAAGGGGAGGGGCGGGGAAGGCGTGCTTGGCTGTCTCTCTAGGACCCTGTCATCCCAGTCGGCACTCCTTCACCCAGGGGACCTGTGTCGGGCGTCAGCTAACTGGTTTGTCTAGGGGAAGGAAGCCTGAAACAAAGCAACACCCAACAAGCTTCTTGGGGATCAACCCCAGGACCTTGACCTCAGCAGCGAGGCGTGCAAATCGATGCCCCCACAGATGGCACACCGCATGCGATATCTGGTTCTGAATGTAGAAAGAAAATGGCCCAAATGGCCCAAATCTGACGAGCTCCAAGTTCAAAACCCCAGAAGCTTTGGCACCGTGACCGACCCAGCTCACGTGCTGGTTCTGAGAATTCGGCCACCTGGCGGGCAGGAAAAGTGGAGGAAGAAGAGGAATGACATTTGCGTTCACTTTTCAGAATCCCTGTAGCGACCCGTGGGCAGCACCTGGGTCTGACACTGGAGTAAACTGAGGCAGCAGAGTTAACCCCAGTGGGTGACCGTGACTGCACGCTTCTCTGCTGGGGGGCGGGACTACCACTTCCCGGTAACCAGCGGTAACAAGTGACGTCACTTATACGCAGCTTGTCTCTCTGGGCCACTTAAAGTCCCCGAGCTCTGAGCAGGGAGGCACAGCACACACTCCTTCCCTCTAGCCCCCTCCCGCCTCCGCTGCTGGGGAAGGATCTAGAAAAGCAAACGGAGAGGGAGCAAGAGACACAAGGCATGGCTTCCAGTTCCCTGCAGCATTTTACATGGAGCCTGGGTTCTAGTTTTTTCTTCCCGTGTTCCTTTTCCAAGGTATCATGGCACACGCACACACACACACACACACACACACACACACAATTCCACCTCTATGTTATAAAAGGCAAGCTCATTCAGGTTCCTCCCACGGCTGGCTTCACTTAGACCCAACACCAACAGACCAACAGATGAGCCACAAGCTCATTCCTTCCAAGCCATCTCTTTCCTCTTCCACCGAGAGGCACCTGGATGTTAACCCAACACTAAGCCACCGCTCTTGCTGATTCAGTTCCAGCCCCAGAGGGAGATGAGCCAGCAAAAGGGATGGTGAGGACGGGGTGACAGATGGGTGGGACCAGGAAGGGTAATACTCACAGGGCATCGGTGGACCAGCCAGTACGCCTTCTCCTGGCAATCCAACGCATACCTGTCTGCTTTATTCCTTTCCTTCCCAGTCCTGAAAAACCAAAAGCCGCATCAAGGCCAGTGAGACTTTGCTCCGTTTGCTCAGTGATGCAGCCCGTCCCCAAAGCCCCAGACCACTCCCCCCGCCTCTCCAAGTCATCTGTGTTTGCCCATAATCGTAACAATGACAGCAAACACTAATATCACCCTCTCGTGCTAGGTCCTCTCACACATGTGAACTCACGTAATCCTCCCCAGTGACCTTGTCTCACCTCGCAGCTCGGCGGACTGAAGTAAAGACAGACTGAACGCCCCGCGGAGGGTCACGGTGGCAGCAAGGGGCAGAGCACGGCTCTACCCGACAGCCCTGTGCTGCGACGCAGCCACGCCACCGTGACTCAGCCCCAGAATCGAATCCCCTCCACCTTCACCACCACAGCGAGTGCAGACGACATTCAGGGTTGATGACATCGGACCACCTGGCTTAACATTTCCCTGCTTCGATAAACACCGTGGTCAACACCCGGACAAGTGGCAGCAGGCAATGCCAGAGCTTGCTACCAGGGACGATGCTGGGCCTCGGGTGGGGGTGGGGGCGGGGGGGGGGGGTCGTGTGTGTCTCCCTCCCGGTCATTCCCGCTCTGTCACTTCACAGAGTTCGTGCCAAGTCGGGGTTTTTTCCAAACCCAACTGATTATGGTGAAAGGCTATTTATCTTCCCTCTTATCTCTCTCTCCCCCTTCTCCCATTATGGGTAGGAAATGATGCTGTGCTCTCCTCCTACGGAAGCCGGGCGACATTAATTACGGTGCCAGGGGCCCCATTTGCCACTATTTCCACGGCGACCTGCACCCACGTGGCTATGCTGGTTTTCCAGGCAACGTGGGATGACGTACATGCCCTCCAGAAGACAGAGACAGCAGACTTATCCGCCAGCGAATGCATCGTCAATAACATCATCACATCTAGAGGGCCAGGTGGGTGCAGAGCGCCATTCCAGTCGGGTGTTTTGCCAACTTCCTCTGGAAATTAAATATAAACACCATCCCTTCTCCTTCCCCTTGCCGGCCTAACTGGATTTTCCACCAGGTTAACTACCCCGCGTCCTCAGGAGGATGGGCCACAGACGGCCCGAGGCACTGTGGAGTTTCCACAATGCTGGAGAGTCTTATGAATACAGCCGATTGCTAATTTACAGTAATGGTCCTTTCTGGCTTCTTCTCTGGCTCTTCTGTGACCAGCATCAGACTGGCTGCTGTCAGCGCAGAGCCCGCTTCGGATCCTCTGTCCCTCTCTCTGCCCCTTCCCTGCTTGTGCTCTCTTGCTCTGTCTCTCAAAAATAAATATTAAAAAAAAAAAAGAAGAAAGGGGCACACGAGTGACTCTGTCGGTTAAGCGTCTGACTCTTGATTTCAGCTCAGGTCATGATCTCATGGTTCACGAGTTCAAAGCCCGCATCAGGCTCTGCATTGACAGCATGGAGCCTGATTGGGATTTCTCTTCCCTCTGTTGGCCCCTTCCCCTCTTGTGCTCTCTATCGCGAAGTAAATAAATAAATTTTAAGATATTAAAAAGAGAAAATAAAAAAAGAAATACAATTACATACTGCCTTATGAGCTCTAAGGAAAAGTTCAGGTGCTCTAATGCACAATCTCAGATGGCCCCTGTGGAGCTTGTTAATCTGTCTACAATTCCTTGGCATTCCTCCCATCGAGAGGAGGGTCTATGTCCTCCCCTCCTGGGACCCAGCTGGGTTTCTTGGGGCTGTTTCAACCCAATATAATATGTCAGAAATGGCACACTGCGATGTTTGAGGTTGGGCCCTAAAAGGTGGGACAGCTGCCATCCTCCTCACTGGAATATCTGCCCTTGAAGCTTCCAACCACCTGCAAGCAATGTGACTGCCCCAATGCCACCATGTTGTGAGAGAGCCCAAGCAGTCCAGAGGCTACAAGACGAGGGCAGGAAATGCCCAGCCAGGTGCTGAGGGCCCCAGCTCCAGCCCTCCCACCACAACCATGTGAGAGACTCAGATCCAGAACTGCCCAGCCAAGCCCTTCCCAAATTCCAGACCAACAGAAACCTTGAAAGATAATAAAGTGACTGTTGCTGTTTTGAACCACTTTTAGGATGATCTGTGTGCAATAACAACAACTAATCAGAAAAGCCTCTTTGAGCATGTGACATTTGAACTGAGAGATCTCTCACTCTGAAGGGTGACAGGGCTCTATTTTTGTTTCAAAAATGGCGGCAGGGGCACCTGGGCTCAGTCATCGAAGCGTCCGACTTCAGCTCAGGTCATGATCTCGCGGCTCATGAGTTCGAGTCCCGCGTCGGGCTCTGTGTTGACAGCTCGGAGCCTGGAGCCTGCTTTGGATTCTGGGTCTCCCCCTCTCTCTGCCCCTCTCCCACTCATGCTCTGTGCATCTCTATGTCTCTCTCAAAAATAAATAAATATATTTTAAAAATAGGGGCACATGGGAGCGAAGAGGCCAACTGGGGGGATACTGCCATGGCCTGGGTGACAGCGAGGTTGGTTCAACCAACTCAGGGGAAGGGGGGGCACACAGAAGGGAGGAGGTGGGGTGGCAGGAATTTTGCCAGAAGTGGCAACAGGACTGGATGACTACACAGGGGGCGTGAGGGCTTGTGGGCAGGAGGTAAACGGGGTTCCCCGTACTGATGGGGGTAACACTAGAGGAAGAGGTTTGGGGTGCGAGGGAGCGAAACATTCAAATACGAACAAGTTATGTTTGAGATGCGACGTCAACATGCAATGAGTCTGGGATTCGGAATAGAGGTTTGTGTTGAGAGGCTCAGTATAACCAAATGGCTACCTCATGAGCCACCAACACATACACAGCCAACCTAACTTTGTGGTGAGACCCTGTGTTTGTATTAATCGGGGTTCTGCAGAGAAACAGAACCGGTAGGAGATAGATTAGATAGATAGATAGATAGATAGATAGATAGATAGATAGATAGATAGGGGCAGAGTTTATTTGTTGAGTAACACACAACTGAGGAAGCTGGCAAGTCTAAATTCCACAAGACATGCATGCCAGCAGGCTGGAGACCCAGGAAACGGCTGATGTTGCAACTTGAGTCCAAAGGCAATCTGAAGGCAGAACTACTTCTGCCTCAGAAAAACCTCAGTCTTTGGGGCACGTGGGTGGCTCAGTCGGCTAAGCATTCGACTTCGGCTCCCGATCTCACGATCTCACGGTTTGTGGGTTCGAGCCCTGTGTCGGGCTCTACACTAACCACTGGGAGCCTGGAGCCTGCTTCAGATTTTATGTCTCTCTCTCTCTCTCTCTCTCTCTCTCTGCCCCTCCCCACCCACACTCTGTCTCTCACTCTCTCTCAAAAATAAAAATTAAGAACAAAGATTAAAGGGGCGCCTGGGTGGCTCAGTCGGTTGAGCGTCCGACTTCGGCTCAGGTCATGATCCCGCCATCTGAGTTCAAGCCCTGCGGTGGGCTCTGTGCCGATGGCTCAGAGCCTGGAGCCTAATTCAGATGCTGTGTCTCCCCCTCTCTCTGCCCCTCCCCTACTCACACTCTGTGTCTCTCTGTCTCTCAATAACAAATAAATGTTTAAAAAATTTGTTAATATTGTAAAAAAAATAAAAAATTAAAATAAAAAAAAAAACACCCTCAGCTTTTTTAGTTAAAGCCTTCAATTGATTAGATCAGGCCCACCCATACTACGGAGGTAATCTGCTTTACTCCAAGTCTACTGATGTAAATGTTAACCTCATCTAAAAAATACCTTCACAGTGTCATCATAGACTGGCGGTGGCCCTGCTGTCTAGGTACCACGGCCTAGCCAAGTTAACACATAAAATTCGCCGCTGCACACCCTAGAAATGAAGTTAGAGGCAGCCTTTGAGTTAAGCAATGGAATTAGTAGGGAAAAGCCAGTATCTCAGAAGGACAGAGTCTTTTCGGAATCGCTCATCCCAAAGCAGCCAGAAACGATGGAGGAGGGGATGCCCTATCACACAGCAACGCAGAGCTCTGTCCAGGCTAAGGCCAAGTCTGAGTGCTAGGGCCGGGGGAGCCACTGAGAATAGCCCTGAGTTGCACACACAGCTAGGGCGTCCTGGAAGGCATGTCAGGGTCGCTGGGCTATCCTGCTCAGAGCAGAGAGGTAGAGGAGGATGAGGGGGTTCCAGCCCAGTGTGGAACCCAGTAGAAACTCAAAACTGGTGCATCGACTAGACCTAAGTAACACTAGCCCAGCCTTGACCATTACCTCAAGAGCGACTTTGCCAAGGACTTTTTAACCTCTCTAAGCCTCCATTTCCCCATTTGTGGATGTGAGGGGTGACAAGAGTTCCTGCTGTGAGCACTTGCTCTCACCATCATAAACGGAGGCGGTACAGGGAACTCACCAAATGAAACCTTATGAACAAACACAAGTGATGGGAGGTTAGAGCACTCCCCACAGCTGTTCTGCCTCAGGCACACCCAGGCAGAAACATGTCAGCGGCGAAAGACCCTCTCCAGGTCTCTCAGTAATGCTCCTCTACCTGAATTTAAAGCCTCAGAGCAGACAGTCCCTCTCCGAAGCAATAAAGCCATCTGCCATTAGAACTTTTATGCTCCCCCCCCCACCGCCACCCTGCCCCTAACAGGCCCTTCTGCATAATAGTGCTCACCCTCTCATGATGGCTAATTTTATGTGTCAACTTGATTGGGCCATGGGGTGCCCAGAGAATTGGTCAAATGTTATTCTGGATGTATCCCTGAGGATGTTTTCAGCTGAGGGTATTTTAAAGTTGAAGGCCTGAATGGAACAAAAAGACTGATCTCCCCTAAATGAGAGGGGATCCCTCCTGCCTGGTGGCCTTGAGCTGGGACATCAGTCTTTCCTTGCCTTCAGGCTCAACTGAAACGTCAGCGTCCGGACCTCCAGCTGCTTAGCCTCCAGACGAACCTATCACACCAGGGCTTCTGGATCCCCAGCCTGCCAGCCGTAGGTCATGTCACTTCGCAGCCTCTGTAGTTGTATGGGCCAATTCCTTATCATAAACCTCTGATATACATACATACATATCCTAGTATTCCGGTTTCTGTAGAGAGCCCTAACCAATCCACCACTACTCGGATCCCAAGGCTCTTGGATGAGATTCCACTGTTCAGCCCAGCCACGCACCAGCAAGGGTAGACCTTCCAGAAACTGGACCTGCCTGGGCAAGTGAGGCTGACTGGACTTACCCATTTTGGTGATATCTGGTATTGGTCCCCAGGTATTCTTGACTCCCCCACATCACAGGCACACAGTAGGATTGTACATCCCCACCCAAAGGAGTTTAAAGTTGGGCACAACCATAGAAGCCGCTTTGTTGGGCTAATGAATTGTGAACACAAGTGACATGCATCGCTCGTGACCCATACAGGCTCTGCCTCCCTCTACTCCAGCAACAGGTGAAGCCTGGATGGTGCCACTTCTTCAGCATGGGTCCTGGAGTGGGCACAAAGCATGTCAGGGCCCCAGCTAAGCCACAGTGGACATGAAGCGCAGGCAAGAAATGAACCCGTGGTTTCGTGCTCCTGAGGCTTGGGGGGATGTTTGTTATGACAGCCTAACATCGTCCTGACGGATTCACTCTCTGCAACATTGACATCTGGCTCTCGTAGACAAGGCAGAGCCTTCACGGGGACTTCCGGCTCCAGTTCTGAAGTGGATGGCAGGCAAATGAGACCAGTCGTGGGTGGTTCTACTGTGCAAATCTGCTTTAGATCTTTTTATGGCTCCCCATGGCCCTTAGCGCTAAACCCTCTCCCGATCTGCTCCTGCTAACATGTCGGGTCTCACTTCTCTTGGTTCCAGGCTCTGTGCTCTCTGCTCCAGCTACACAAAACTGCACCAAGTGGGCATTCCCCCGATTCCAGACTCTGGTTCTCTCTGCTTTGAAGATCCTTCCTCTCACCTCGCCCTTCTTCTCCATCCGCCAGCACCACCCTTCCCCCTACCCGGCAACCTCCTAGGCAGCTTCAGGTTCAATGCTGTTTCTCCAGCTCTCCTGCAGACACCTGTGTGAGACCTCATCTCAGTGTAGCATCACAGCCTGTTTGCTCGTCCGCCTGACCCCAGACTGTGCCTTCATATTCCCCATGCCGAGCCCAGCGTTTGACAGTAAAAGCCCAATAAATTTGTTACGATAAAAGGAAACAAAGAAGGAAAGGAGGGAGGAAGGACCAACAGACAAACGTGATCTTTCACTCACTTGTACTGTTCTTTGGCCTGCATAATGACAAAGTCCCACTTGTAGTTAATTTTTTTGTTCAAGAAGTTGTAATTTTCCTAGAAATGGAGAACAAAAAGAACGCTAAGGCCTACAACATAGGCTGTGTGCAGACGGAAGCAAGCTCTAAGTCAATGAGGCTGTGCCCCTGGCTCTAGATGCAGCCAGATGATCTCCCATCCCAGCTTTGTGAAGGCATTCGCTCAAAAGGTAGCACTGAATTCTCAAAAAGCCTTCACAACAAAAGCCTTCACAAAAAGATCTAAAGCTTCTCAAAAAGCCACACCCTGGCTTGGATTTTTTTTTTTAATAAATGTATCCCAAATCTGATTAGGAAGAGGGGAACCGTGTGAGGGGAAATGTAGAAGCTCAGTATTCAACAACAGAGCATCACAAATGCACAAAGACAAATCCTAACATGGTATGATGTGGGCCCTTCAAAATACATATTTGTAAAGAATAAAAACACGGCAAGATTGTTGCTGTCTGCACAGGAATCTAGCCTTTTAAGGGATGCATGTGTTCTTTGAGAAATCTGACTCATCCGGCCTAAAACCAAAGCTACACTATTGTTTTCCCATCACAAACTCAAGTTCACATCTGTTTATCACATAATGTCCATTATCATGCATATTAATTGTCTCATTAATAGGACAGCGAACGGAAGGGAGTAGCTAACGTGTGTCCAGTAGCCACTGAGGCAAGGGCTTAAATTACAGCAGGAGAAACTGAAGCTTGACATGGGGAAGAATTTATTTCAGCAAGCTGCTTCCAAATAGATGGACGGATGAATAGTAGATGGATGGACAGTGGGTGGATGGATGGATGGATGATGGATGGATGGGTGATGGATGGATGATGGATGGTGGATGGTGGATGGATGGATGGTGGATGGTGGATGGATGGGTGATGGATGGATGGATGGATGGATGGATGGTGGATGGATGATGGATGGATGGATGGATGGATGGATGGATGATGGATGGGTAGATGGGTGGATGGTGGATGGTGGATGGATGGTGGATGGGTGGATGGGTGGGTGAATGGATAGATGGTGGATGGGTGGGTGGATGGTTGGAGGGGTGGGGGGCAGGGAGGGGGGGTGAATGGATGAATGGATAGATGGTGGATGGACGGATGGTTAGATTGTGGATGGATGAATGGAAGATAGATGAATAAATGATGGGTGGGTGGATGGATGGATGGATGATAGATGGATGGATGGATGGATGATGGATGATGAGGGTACACATGATGTAACCAAGGGGGAAGAGGAAAAAAAACAGCTCAAGACTTTATTCCAATTATAATAACTTATACTTGAAAGCATGTCTGTACCTTTTCATATTCTTCTAAAATCCCTTTCTTCTTTATATTTCGCTTGGCTAGATAGATGGCTGCAAAAGAAAGCAATGACATTTTCCATCATCACCATATTTTAAAACGGCATCTGCGCCATTATATGCACGAGGCTGCTGTGCTTGGCTTGGTAGGGAGAAGTTTCAGCAGATCCTTGCTCCCTTCCCTGGGAACACACCCAATACAGATGTGAACGGACATAAAGGTCGTGATGACAGTAAGACAAACGTCACCAAGGTGCAGCGAGTAAATAAGCAGCACGTTGAGCACTACCAAAGGCATAGGGGGATGGAGTTTTACCATAGTCTGTATCTTCAGCCGGCCACTGCTGGGTGGGCCAGAAATACGGCGTCTATAAAAGAAACCAGGAAAGCACGTAAGCGTGGGCTTACAACCCACGCTGTTGACTGTCCCCCTGGGCCCCCAGCCCTGTGGCTTGAGATGAAACGACCTCAGCCCCCTCCCCCACCATTTCTAAAGTTCTGATCTGTGAGGATATGAAGCCATGCAATTCCCTTCTCAGATAAGATTAATCCCATATTAACACCAAGGTCAAGGCCAAGACCCACCTGAAACCGGTAGAGGCTGTTGTCAGACTTGAGTACGAGATTCCTGGGATCCTGCAGAGGGTAAATGTAGCCATATTTGACAATAAAGTTGCCCAAGTTCTGTGCCTCTGGGAAGAAACAGTTAAGACATGGAAGTTAACAGCAGACACTGAAGGCAGAAGCTCATTGCCCATCCCCCACACAGCACCCCAAACTCCAGGAGAGGCGCCCCATCCAAACAGCACTTCATCTAAGGAGAGAGGACAGTGGTTCCTGAACTTGGCTATGGGCAAATTTCAGCTGGGGAGCATGGTAAGAGGAAGACTTCCCCAGCTCGACCCCCAAGAATGACAACTCATAAGTCTGGGGGGAACCAGAGAACCCAAATGTTCATGGGTATCACAGGTGGTCCACTGCAGATGTTTAGAGAAGCTTCTTTGGGCCCTTTGGCTCTGGAGAAGTCCCCAGGAGCAGGGAGAGAATGTATCTGACCACCAGAGAGTTCCTCCCTCAAAAAGGAAAGGAAAGAGGAGGCCATGTTTACTGTCAACTTCTATCCCCAAGCTCCATTCTACCCGCATCCTAGGTATGGATCCCCCGGCTCCTCCCCACCTCACTTTATTACCTAGCCCACCTCCAATGTGCTTGGAAACATAGCCTTGTTTCTGGATTTGCATCAATTAAAGGAAAACCTTCCTGGCTCTTTCTCAGAGTCACCAAGGAAGCAGGTGTCTTGCCATCATCGAGAGAATTTTCTATCCCTGCCGTCCTCGGGCCCAAGGACCCAACCCACAACCCCTCCTGTATCTCAGCCTCCAACGCTTTGAGAGACCTTCTCCCCATCCCTCCTTCTTCATGTCTCACTCCCCCCCCCCCCCATCGTAGACAAGTCTCATTTTCTATGCCGTGTGATACCAAGAGCCTTTTTTCCTAGTGGGAAGTCTGTGCCTCAGATTCCTTCTGTTCCAACCCATCCCTCAAAGTGCTGCAAACATCCTAGCTTACATATGATTATCACACATATGGCTCAAAACTCCCCCATGACCTCCTATTGGCTGCCTCCCAGAGGAAACTCGGAATCTGCAAATATGCCAGCTACACGCCTGTCCCTACCCTGCCCGCCATACCCAGCTGAAGTCATTTCTCCCAATTTCCCCCTCGTCCCCCTCTCTGTCTCATTCAGCCCATTTCTACACCACTGCTCTTGCCAGTTTCCCCTCTGGGACGACAGACCCTCGGAACTCCCCTCCACAGTCTGCTAGCGGCCCTTCTTTCGAGACCAGCCGTATGCGTGCATCACCCCTCCAAGACTTCTGTCTTGACTGATTCTACCCTGGTTGCCTGTTATGTACGTGCTCCCAACATTTTGAATGAAACAACCATTTCTCTTCCCCAATTATCTGTCACGCCTTCGCTTTTGATTCTGGTTGTTTTTCACACGAATGCCTTGTCTCTCCAATGTCAATTTCTCAGAGACAGAGGCTAAGCCTCCATTTAGTCTCTGGCCTCCAGAGATTCTTTGGTCCTTGTCGACGGAGTGCCTGAGGAGCTCTCACCCAGATTGGAGATCCAAAGCCGCTGGGCGATCCACTGGAGAATATCACTGCCTGCAAACCAGAGGTATTTGGCCATCATCAGAGTTTCCCAGCCCAGCCCCCGACCTCCACACCCTCCTCCACGCTGTTACCCCACGGGGTCTCCTCCAGGCTCAGCTGTGATCTCATCCCTCATCGGCTCAAAACTTTCGGGGCCTCCCCTCCACCGCACCCCCGTCACTATGTTCAACCCAAAACCCCACAACCCATAATTCAGGGTCGTCCACGATCTGACTCCGGCCAGATTTCCAGCTTAACATCCCCCCACACCCTCAATTCTTCACCTCTCTTGTGGTGTTTATTTCCTTACCTTACAATAATGTGTGCATGGACTAGTATTTATCAAGTAGGAAGTAAAGAGCCTAAGTCTGAGCCCTGAAAAAAACCAGACCCAAGGCATGCTACCTGTGGGGCTCCAGATGGAGCCTGGTCACATGAAGGGACATCAGAACCAGGGATGGGAGAAAAAGTGGGAATGAGCTAAGGGTAGGGGATGGTTCTCCCCGGCTCCCAAGTTCCCAGGCAGAACTCTGAGGAGTCCGAAAATTCGAAATTCAGACCCGGCCTCTCAGGTCATTGTGAAAGTACTCTGGTCGAAGCAGGAGGGTGGGACATATTCTAGTAACACTCTGTGGATTGATTTATAACTTCAGACAATGGAATGGGAGCACCATTTGCAGTCACGACCTGGGCTCGGCAGGTCTTAGGGAGGGGCCAGCCTGGGAACAATACTGCAGAGTGAAGACTGGTGTGGGAAAAAAAAAAGCAGGTGAGGCAGACGGGGACGAGATCAGGAGAGATCAGGAGAGAAGAAGCGCCCCCTCCTGCCCATCTCCCAAGGATTCAGATTTATCTAAGGGCCAAAGGGAGCCAAGTTCCAAAAGCAATCCAGAACTGTTGCAGGACCCCAAGGAGCTGTGTGGTTCCTCCTCAACCTGGGCCCTGCACCCCCTTAGTGGAACAGACTCCTTGTACGAGGAAGGCACCTAAAGAAAGACGAGATGTCCTGGAAGGAACCACCCTTCACCAGACACCATCTGGCAAACAGCAATAACCACATTTTCCAGCAACTTCACAGGCCAACCCTGGACCCCTGCCTGCATGAGGACTGGCCCACAGCACACACCAAGAAGGAGGATCCGGGTCTGAGACCCCACTGCCCGTGTCCTTGTGGCTGGACTGTTGCATCCCTCTTCAGAGCTAGTGAAGGGGCATTTCTTCTGGGGCCTTCCAGGGAAGGCCCTTATCACCCACTCACACACTCTCTGGGCTTAATTACCTGCCCGCAGCATGACTTAGGATGGACAACCTGTAATTCTTACCTTCCTGTCCATGCCCTGGGGCACGAACGTTCAGACATTATCTCTGTCCTTGCCCACATGCCCACCATTCTCACTTCCGGTGGGTTTTCATCTCTTGTTCTTAGTTTTATTCACCCGTGGTTGGCTGTTCTCAAGCAAAAGCCTTCATCTAAAATCCTCCTTAAAATCCTAGGACTGGGTGTTTTAGACTTTCCACCCCAGGTCTCCTTGAATGCTACTCGGGAGGCATGTAGACCAAGAGAGAGAGAGAGAGAGAGAGAGAGACCCAAGCAGACAGCAGTTTGATTAGCGCTCTCCACCAAGGAGCCGAGGGTTTTCTCATCCACTTGACTGCTTCCCGAAATAGACCAAATGGGATTACAGAGCCACCGGCTTCGGCACCACGTGGTCTGTGCTAATGGCGTGGCAGGCTCCGCATCAGCCACCGTCATCCCCAGAAGTCCTGGGTCACCTGCCATCTGAGGAGTTAGAGACTGATTACCCGGTTTGCTTTTATTAGTGCTGATGCAGGACCCAAGGCTTCTCCCTGAGACCCGTTCCAGCAGCAGCTGAAATTCACCCACACGGGAGGAACAAGAGAACACATGGCAGGGTCGGCTGCCTCGGCCAAATCCAGGAACCACGGGCGCCCCGTGTGCAAGGAAAAGGAGCAGCTTATGCGCACCGACAGTGGGTAAGGGTATGGACACTGGAGTCACACAGCTGGGATCAGATCCAAGCTCAGCCACGTGTGAGTGTAGTGACACGGGGACACGTTGCTGAGCCTCTCTGCTTTTCCGTGGCCCCACCTGCAAAATGCGGATGGTCGTGTCTATCCCTAACTTTGTTGTGGGTGTTAAGTGACACAGTGTGGGGAATCGCCTGCTGTCACCACACATCAAGCATCCATGCTTGCTGACCACGTAAGTACTATCTCACCTAACACCCGCCATCATTCTCGTAGACAGGGATTGCGAATCCTGTTTTTTTTAATGTTCATTTATTGATTTTTAAGAGAGAGAAAGAGAGAGAGTGCACAAGCGGGTGGGGGGCAGAGAGAAGGGAGAGAGATGATCCAAAGCAGACGCTACACCGTCAACGGAGAGCCCGACGCAGGGCTCAAACTCATGAGCTTTGAGATCATGACCTGAGCCGAAGTCAGATGCTTAACCGACTGAGCCACCCAGGCGCCCCCCACTATTCCTGCTTTTAAAATAAAAACACTGAGGCAAGGGCTACACGGCTTGAAAAAGGCACCTGAAAGATTCAATCCCAGGTGCCCCTCAATGTCCAGTGCTCTCTGCACAGCTCTAGGCCAGCACCGGCTCACGCATTCAGCAAACTTCTGTTAAACCTCCCCCCCTGCCTGACCAGCAGCTCTGCTAAGCACTGGGGTTACCCAGGTGAGAAAGATGCGATGTGAAGGCTTCCCAATCCAGTGGAGAATCCAAGCCACAATTAATGACAACCAGGAGCGGAGGGGGGCGGGGCAGGGATGCCTTCCGGAAGAATGGTCCCGGTCCCCCCCGCCCCACCCCCCCCCCCCCCCCCCCCCCCCCCCGTACGTCTTAAAGGCTGGGAGGAAACAGGACCAGGACCACCCTGAGGAGTCTGCCCATTTATTCCTGCTCTTTGGGCGCCTGTGCTACACTGGTTCCTAGCCTCTCCCAGGGGTGGCTCGTCAGTTTCCTTTTCTTCTGTGAGCTACCCTGTTCCGTTCCGATCAACTGCTCTTTTGCTCCAACCAGCCAAGTTGGTCTTCTGTGGCTTGCACTCACGGAAGCCTGCATGATACACTGATGGTGGGGGCACTCTTTCTTCCAAGCAGATAGAAAGGGAAACAGGACAGTGTCAGCCAGCTTATCTCTGCCAAGACCAGGGCACCTTGAGTGAAAAACAGTGAGGTCGTGGCGGGGGGGAGAGAGTGAGGGTTCACAAGGAGCAGAACAGAGGGGTGAGTCCCAGGCTTGTGCTTTGAGAAACTGTCTGTTTCTGCAGACACTATATCTCGGTAGGAAACACGCTCTTGACCGAAAAACCAAAATCATACGACATATGCGACCCATTAATCAAAATTCATTCTTCTTTTGCGGTTCGGTCCCTTCTGCCAATATCCTCAGATGATGCTCCTTTATCCCACATCCAGAGAAAGGAGACACTGGCGGCATCCCGTGGGGTGGTTAAGGAGGGCGCCAGTATATTCAGATGGCTAACGGATGCATGAAAAGATGCTGAATCATCACTCATCATCAGGGAAATACAAATCAAAACCACAATGAGATACCACCTCACACCAGAGTGGCGAACATTAACAACTCAGGGGGCGCCTGGGTGGCTCCATCGGTTAAGCATCCGACTTCAGCCCAGGTCATGATCTCACAGTCCGTGGGTTCGAGCCCCGCGTCGGGCTCTGTGCTGACAGCTCAGAGCCTGGAGCCTGCTTCGGATTCTGGGTCTCCCTCTCTCTCTGCCCCTCCCTAGCTCGCTCTCTCTCTCTCTCTCTCTCTGTCAAAAATAAATAAACTTGAAAAAAAACTCAGGAAACAACAGATGTTGGCAAGGATGCGGAGAAAGGGGAACCCTCATACACTGCTGGTGGGTGCAAGCTGGTGCGGCCACTCTGGAAAACAGTATGGAGGTTCCCCCAAAAATTAAAAATAGAACTACCCTACCACCCAGCAATAGCACTATTATATCCTTTATCTAAAGGGTACAAAGATGTTGATTCGAAGGGGCAAGTGCACCCCCAATGTTTATAGCAGTGATATCAACAATAGCCAGATTATGGAAGGAGCTCAAATGCCCATCGACTGATGAATGGATAAAGAAAATGTGGTATGTACACACACACACACGCACACACACACACACACGCACACACACACACACACACACACACACACACACAAACAATGGAATATTACTTGGCAATCAAGAAGAATGAATTCTTGCCATTTGCAACAATGTGGATGGAACTAAAGTGTATTATGCTAAGCGAAATAACTCAGTCAGAGAAAGATAAATATCACATGATTTCACTCATGTGTGGAATTTAAGAAACAAAACAGACGAAAATAGGGAAAGGGAAGGAAAAACAAGATAAAAAAGAGAGGGAGGCCAACCATAAGAGACTCTTAACTACAGAGAACAAACTGAGGGGTGCGGGAGGGGAGGGGCTGGGGGGGACGGGCTAAATGGCTGATGGGCATTAAGGAGGACACTTCTCGGGCTGAGCACTGGGCGTTATATGAGTCACTGAATTCCACTGCTGAAACCATTATTACACTGGATGCTAACTCATTTGGAGCCCAATTTTTAAAAATTAATTAATTAATAAAAACAGAAAGTTGTCAGCGTGGATCAGACCAGGGTGGAGCAAAGACCAATTTATTTCTGCCGGATAGTATTTTTCTTCCTCAAGCTACCTGATTTCATCAAAACAGGGCAAACAGAAAGCGACAGTAAAAGCTTTTTAAATGACCTCCCGGGAGGGATGGCTTCACAAAGTGCCCCATTGGTTCTTTTTCTCCTTTCCTTTCCGACCCCTTCCTCAGAAGGAGCCGGTGGTCCAGGAATCAGCAAACTTCCTCTAAAGGGCTGTACATAGCTTCACTGCGGGGGGCCATAATTCAGTCTCTGCACAACTATGCAACTGTCACTGTGGCGTAAAAACAGCCAAAGATAAAACACAAGTAGGGACGTGGTTGCGTCCCGATAAAACTTTATGTGTAAACACAGGCCACGGGCTGAACTGGGACCTTGAGCTCTAGGCCACCATTCCCTGCGTGTGGATGGCTCGAGGCCAAGACTAAGTCACAGGATACATTACCTGTCATGGCGTGAGGGACACTGGTGACCAGGACCTTCTGGCTCTGCACCCGGACCCCCGTCTCTGGGTTCTGCATGTCCTTCACCAGCGCTTCAATCTGCAAAACAGAACCCAAAAAGCTGGCTGACCAGAACCATTTTTCTCACGGACACAAGCACCCTCGCCGGGCTGGGGAGCCCAGAGAAATGCGTTCTGACTGGAGACGCTGCGCAGGCCTAAGAGAGAAGGGGGCACTTAGCAGAAGAGGATTTTGACGGACAGAAAGTGAGAGGACAAGAAGAACCGAGGCACAGGAGGACGACCGTGCCCGGGGTGAGAGAGGGACGGAAAGCGGGGGCAGACGAAGCCGGAACGACAGGTGGGAGCCAGATCACAGTGGGCCCCTCGAATGCCATTCCCGGAGCGTGCATCTTGCTCCAGCAGCGACTGCTGGAGAGGAGCGTCATCCAGCCCACGTTTGCGAAGTGTGGTCCACGGCAGACAGAAGAACACTGAAGCATGAAGAAGTTTGCCAGGGTGGACGCAAGTGGGGACATCCATTTGAAGCTACTGCAATGGTCCAGGCAAGGAATGGTGGGGCTCCCATGCTTGCCACTTCCGCCCCGTGGTCTCCTCTCAGGAGAGCAGCCAGGGTGAGTCTACCAGTTATTCTGGAAGATGTCCCTCCTCCGCTCAAAACCCTGCAGAGGCTATTCCACTCAGAGGCAATGGCAAAGTTCCCCTACTGCTCTAGTGGCCGGGACCCCTTCCCCCCTGACTTTCCTCCTACCACTGCCCACCTGGCTGCCTCCCATCCAGCCACAATGGCCACCTTGCTGCTTTCTGGTCATGCCAAGAATATACCAGCCTCCTGCCCCGGGGCCTTTGCTCTGGCTAGTCCCTGTGCTTACACCACTCTTCCCAAGAACCTACGTAGCTCGCTCGCTCACCACCTTCTTCAGCTAACATTCTCAGGAGGCCTGAGAACATCCTACTTACTGCTACAACTTTGAACTCCACCCCTGGCATTCCTGACCCCCTACTCGCTTTTTCTATAGCTCTCAGCTTCTAACCGAGGAAACTATCTACCTAGTGATTACATTGTTTATTGCATGATTCCCTTGATCCTAGAGAGTAAGTTCTTCAAGGGCAGGTCTTCTGTCCGTTATCGTCTGAGGCTGTCTTATGACTGCGTGGCATAGAGCCTGACACATAGATGATACGCCATAAGCGACTGATGCATGAGTTAATAAATAAATGAAGACAGCGGCAGGAAAGATAATAGGAAGGCGTGGCTTTTAGAGCCCTAGTTAACTCGAATGAACCGTATTTGCAAGTGATTGACTTGTTCAGTGATGGGGGGCAAAGTCTGTAACTCCTGTGATCAGAGTTGCCAGTTACCTAAATACAAAATGGAGAAAATGGAAAGGAAGGAGCACCTTCTGGAAGCAAACGCTTTCTGCTTCGGAACACGGACCGAGCTAGCCAGAGTGCAGGCAGGGGATGGGAAATGAATGCGTCAAGTTCGAAAGAGATAAAGGTCAGAGATAAGAATCAGTCGTGACTATCGAAGAGAGATTGAAACAAACAGAAACAGTGAACTGTCCGAGGAAGAGTGAACCGCAGGAAGACAGACACAAGGACACCCCTGGTGGTCTTTAGAGTACTTTTTAAACTGTTATTAAAAAAAAAAAAAAAAAAAATAGTCTTCCACTGAAAAAATTAAACGGAAGTAAAGTCAACTGAAGGATATCCTTTAAAACAAACCGGATGGGTTGGCACAGTTTAGAAAAGGCAAGCCGGAGGGATGGGCTAACTGGGCAAGGGGCATTAAAGAGGACACCTGCTGGGATGAGCACTGGGTGTTGTATGTAGACGAATCACTAAATTCTACTCCTGAAATCATTATTGTACTATGTGATAACTAACTTGGATAAAAATTTAAAAAAATTTTTAAATTAAAAAAGAATAAAGTGTAGCTATATGGAAAAAAAAAAAAAAAAAGACAACCCAGGTGTTTCTCTTGTCAATGTTTACGATGGGAATTGACGAAGCCCATGCAGAGGTTTCGAGCTCCATGTTCCCCCAGGAAACCGCTTACTCATGAAGAAACCATGTATCCCCAAGCCTGCCAGGTGCTTGCAAGGATCCATCGGTCGCTCAACAACCAGCCATGGTGGACTCAGGAAAACCAAAGATAAGGCGACGTGGCCCCTGAGCCCACAGAGTGCACTGTCTGGCACAAGGATATCATAGGACAACATGGGAAGTGCGATGGCAAAGGTGAGCTCCTGGGATCACGAGGACACAGTAGTGCCAGGAGGGATCAGCAGCGGGGACTCTCGGAGTGAGTCTTCAAAAGACGATAGGAACCAGGGATCAGAGAGGGTGGGGGAAATGGCGGGCCACGGCATTCCAGGCTCCGGGAGCAGCAGGAGCAGGGGCATGAAATACGAAGGAAGCAACAAAGGTAGGAACACAGACCTTTCCTGTCCTTCTCTGGCCAGAAGCCTTCCCCCTGCATATAGCCCGCTGTGTACTCATGAAGGGCTGCATCTCAAACCCAACCCGTCTGCATCCCAACCGCCACCCAAACCGAAACAGGCCACTGGTCCACCCACTTCCCCTCCATTTCACTAACTTGGTTATATCATCGTCCTCCCGCTTTTTAATAAAATAACACTCCCCCACTCTGTGCAGCCCTTCACAATTACCTTTTAGACTCTGCTCAGTGCTTGCAGTGAGTGCAAAGGGAAGCCCATGATTCCGGCAGCTTCGTGGGGTTTCATTTCTCTACCAACTGCAGGATTTCACTTAACCTCTCTGAACGTCCCTCCTGGACCATAAATGGGGACACTGATAGTATGTGCCCGAGTAACTGACACAGTTTTGTAATCTCTTAGCATCTCATTAAGTAATCATGCAAAAAATGCTTTACGAGGCCAGACAAATGTTATAGACTCGTAAAGATGTACAATAAGCATGAAGATATATACTTTATCAGGAGACGTGTGTGTTAGTGGTTGTGGTTTGAATCGGTAACAGCAGCAGCTTTCATAGAATTAATGTATCTTTGAAACTCGGCACGATGGGGTGCCTGGGTGGCGCAGTCGGTTAAGCGGCCGACTTCAGCCAGGTCACAATCTCGCGGTCCGTGAGTTCGAGCCCCGCGTCGGGCTCTGGGCTGATGGCTCGGAGCCTGGAGCCTGTTTCCGATTCTGTGTCTCCCTCTCTCTCTGCCCCTCCCCCGTTCATGCTCTGTCTCTCTCTGTCCCCAAAATAAATAAACGTTGAAAAAAAAATTTTTTTTAAAAAAAGAAACTCGGCACGCAGGGCTGTGTTCAGGTGCCTGGGAATAAAAACCCTGCTCTACTTACCGTGCAAATGCTGGTATTTATCGAGCATTAGTAAGCGCCCAGCACTGTGGGGGGTACAACGAGGCAGAAAACATACTCCAAGTCCGCGGAGGATTGGGAAGACACGTGTATAAAAATAAAAGGGTAACTAAGATAAATGCTAGAGAGCTGGGTGCAAATCCCTGCTCGATATACAAGCCAGGTCAATTGCTAAATTTCACTAAGACTCATTTTTCTGTAACCTAGAGATGACAATAATACAGAGACGACAAAAGTACCTATATCATCAGAGGGAGGTTGCAAAGATTACATGAGATTAAGCGCTTAAAGCACTTGGTATCATGCTATGCACGGAGTGTTCAGTAGACAGCAGTTGAAGGCTGAATTAGGCACCAAAAAGATAGGCAAGGCGCTGACTGGAATAGGAAAAGAAATAGCCAGGGAAAGAAAAGGATAACTGAGAAGATCCCCCCCCCCCCACACACACACACACAAAAACCATAGAGGGCGTATAGGAAGGGAGGGATGGCCTGAGAAGGCCCCAGGGTTCTCTACACAGGGAAGCGAAGAGATTGAACTTGGCCCCCTCTTGCACAGTTGGCGGGAATGCAAAATGGTGCCGCTGCAGTGGAAAACAGTATGAAGGTTCCTCCAAAAATTAAAACTAGAATTCCCAGCAACCCCGCTTCCCGGTACACATTGAAAAGACTCGAAGCCAGGATCTCGAAGGGAGACTAGCACTGCCGGGTTCGCTGCAGCATCGTTCCCAACGGCCAAGATGGGCCAACGGCCTAAACGTCCATCAGCAAGTGAACAAGGCAAAGGGTGCCACAGACATACAATGGGACATCAGTCAGCCTTTACAAAGAAGGACATCCCGCAGTATCCCACGATAAGGATGCGCCCGGAGAACACGTCGCTAGGCGAAGTAAGAGCCAGTCACAGAAAGACGGCATGGTCCCACTTACGTGGGGTACCCAACAGGCAAGTTCATAGAATCAAAGAGTGTGTGAAGGGTCACACAAGGGAGCATGACTGAGTACGAGCTCCATCTGCCCACTTTCTCGGCTCACAGATTGTTCCAGAACAGAAACGATCCATTTCCGCTCCAGTCAGAAAAGGGGTGAACCCAGCAGGGTGTTGGAGGGGCCGAGAGGAGGCCACTTCTTCTGGACTTGGGGGACCCAGGAGCCGTGCGCTGCGGGGGGTCACTCCTGCAGTTCTCAACCCACTGTGAGCCTCAGATTTATATGCTACTCCAAGAAATGCCTGATTTTCTGGTGTGAGGGCTCAGGCCTCCCCTCTCTCACATTAGCTGCCAGATGAAACCCCATATTTATTCACAAAAAGTCTTAGACAGGGCACCTGGGTGGCACAGTTGGTTAAGCGTCCCAACTCTTGATCTCAGCTCAGGTCATGATCTCACGGTTCCTGGGCTGGAGCCCATGTCTGCACCATCACCACAGAGTCTCGTCAGGATTCTCCCTTTCTCTGCTCGTCTCTCACTCCTGCGTGTGCGCTCTCTCTCTCTCTCTCTCTCTCTCTCTCAAAATAAATAAACTTTTTTTTTAAGTTTATTTATTTGCCCTGAGGGGGGGTAAGGGCAGAGAGAGAGGAAGAGAGAGAATCCCCAGCAGGCTCCGTGCAGATCAACATGGGGCCCGATCCCATGAACCGTGAGCTCACGACCTCAGCCGAAACCAACTCTTAAGACCTCTTAAGACCTCACTCTTAACCAACTGAGCCATCCAGGTGCCCCTGA